ACGATCACTTAACACCGTTCTTTAATTGTATTATATTATATATATCTGAAGTGCACATGTATATAATTGGCGCTTGTAACCGCTGAAGCGATTTTCGGCCGAGCTCCTCTTCCAATTTGTGGTTTTGCGTATTGATGTTTTACCAACAAATGGACGGACCTACAGTTTATACTTAGCAGCCTCCGAGCAGCTGATGTTTTTTTTTTTTTGATGAGGAGCTTTACTTCATGTCGAAAATACGCTCGCAGGGGTTTGCCATTCCCTGCCGAGAGATGACCGTAATTAGAAAATGTAACTTAATTTTTTATTTAAATTAATTTTCTATAACTTTTTTGGATGTTGTTCGTATCAGCATTTGAACTCGGCACTTCCCAATGGCAGTGTGCAATTCTAACCACTCGGCTACCACAGCCGCATACATGCATATATACAGCGCTTACAATAAACATTAGACTGTATAAAACTACTTACTAAACTTACGTTTTTTACCCAACATATATATACAAACATTTATAACGAATTTTTCAAAATCCCCTATAAACGTCTAAGAATTAAACACGGAACATATCTTTACATTAAGATTATATGCATTTTTAATAATCTTAATAGAACGTATTTACAGTAGTAACTTATGTTATAACAACAAAAATTGTAAAAAATTAATCTTCTTTTATGGTATGATCTAATGTTGGTTATGCTTACATATGTACACAGTAATCGTTTTTAAATAAATAAAACAAGTATGAAATCATTATTCAGCCATGATACCTTTCATAAACAATTTCCAATCGCATTGAAGGTGTTAAAATATTCGTTTAAGGATTTATATTTATCTTCCTTTGGACGCGCTAGCTATTAGCTATTTGAAAGCCAGAGCATATGGTCCTCTCACCTCATTGATTTTTGGTTTATTCACTGATCAGCAGTGAGCAAGTCAAATTTTATATTTTTATGTGTTGATCATTTTCAGAGCCAATAATATAATATATGGTTAATTGATTTAATTCTAATTGTTAAAGGAGGGTATAAAGAGTTCACACAAATGTCAATAAACGTCCCGCATTGTCGAATGCAGTATTCAAACTTTAGGGAAAGAAATTAAAACCTCCACCTTTTATCTGTTTGTTTAAGTAAGAAATAGTTGTTAAAGTAAGAAATAATCTGATTTAATTTGTTCAGCATATAAATAGTGAAATTTCGAAATCCATATCAATCAAGTATAATCAAAATGAACTATTATAGTATTAAACGCAGATAAATGTACAAATATATATAAGAAACTTATCGCACATAAAATATATAAACTAAATACATATAATACATATAAGTTGAGTTAATGCAGCAGTAGTCAGCGAACAACACCCTTAGGCCTACAGACTCAATGAGACATCTCTGTGAGGTTTCTAACACTTTTCCTATTCTTTCGTAAAGATCACGCATGTGATACTCCCGCCAATAACTTGCGTTCGACCAGGTGATATCCCTTGCTGGATATATACAATATTAAGCAGGAATTGAAAATAATCATTATTTTTGGTTTTTCAATGAAAAAATTTATGTATATGTAGAGGCATATATCTAGATGCTCTTGGCAATTTTACAGTGATTTCGAAAAGTGTGATCAATATCTATAACAATCAATATTAGTAACAAATTTTATAATTATTTACAATTGAGTTATATTTTTTCGATCAACTATAATTTTTATTTTCGATTTTTATATTTTCATTCATTATCTACAACAGATATTTAAGTTTCTTAATCGAAAATAACGATTTCCTTTTAAGTTTTATTTTTTTTCCATATTCATTGCTGAGTTTGAAAATTTTCTTCAAAACAAATAATATTTTTTTTGAGTTTCATTTTTCTGAACAAATATAAAAATTCCTTTCTTTTTAAATCGTGCATGGTGAATTTCTCTTGATCTAGCATCCGCAACATACCTGTACGTATTTGAATTTTACATCGAATTTAAATACGCATTCCTAAGTATTTCTACAGAAAAGTTCACTAAATTCGAATAAATATTTTCCACCACAACTTCTGTAAATAAAAAGATAATAGCATGAAATTTTTGTTTTACTTGCGATTTTCTTCTTTATTGGCGCAGAAACCGCTTACGCAATTACAACCGAGTTTATAACATTGCCCCATTCATATATTTTTTTCGGTGTTTGGTGTCAATTGGAGATACAAAGTACAGCCAGGCCCTTTTCTACCTGGTCTTTCTAACGGAAGTGCTTCCACTGGCGGGTACTGCACCGAAAACTTTTAAAGGTGGTTTATTCTTATCCATCCAGAGCACATGACCTAGCCAGCCGCTGTTTCTTGTTTCGCTGAACTATGTCAATATCATCTCGGAGAAAGCAGAGCTAACGGCGCGGTTGTTAGACCGATAATGTGAACATCATCGACGTACGCCAGCAGCTGTACACTCTTATAGCAGATTGTTCCGTCTTTATTCAACTCTGCTGCCCGCATTATTTTCTTTAGCAATTTATTTAAATGAGTCACACGATAAGGAATCACCTTGCTTGAAACCTCGTTTGGGATCAAACGGCTCGGAGAGGTGCTTCCCGATCCTGACGGAACACTGATAAGGTTCAACTAGATTATTGATGGTGGGCTTTAGTCTTTCATACAATACGCTTATCCTACTGTGGGTGTCCCTTTCTTTATGTATTGGGCAGACCACACTTAAATTGCAAAGTTGTTATTGTTGTTGTAGTGGCTACGTTAACACCGCTTAGGGACAGTGGGTATGTTGGAGTCCAGTTCGGATAGGTAGGAGTTTAACCTGTTACAGTATCCAGACCTAAGTTGTATCAAGGTCACGCGGGTCTCTCGAGGCAGCTCGATCTCGTTGTCTGCAATGGGTGGTGATTTTTATCCGAGCACGCCATTCACGGGAAGAGAGTCTTTGAAGGTGATGACTGACTCTTAGAGAATGGCGTTCAATGCTGGTCTGTACGCCGTCTGGTCCAGCGGTTGTTGCACATGTCTAGTACTCCCTTTCTAATATGCCTAGGTGGAAGTTCAGTTTCTATAAGGTGGATAGATGTTTCGCTGTGCAAGTGATGCTCCGGCGAACCCATTTAGGTGTTCATTTCAGACTTTGGCGATCGTTGTCGAGTACCGCCAAACGGCACAACATCTGCTGATGGAACATCTCCTCGAGAAGATTAATAGTTCGACACTTCAGGAGCTCCCTCCAAATTTGTTGGCGTATAGTTGCTGCTAAAGTCGATCTGCGGTTCATTGTTACCATCATTAACACCAATTATAGCAACATCTGGATTTAACAGCTTTTCGAATCTCAGTGAATTTGCAGCAGATTTTTGATTTTGACTCTTTCTTGTGGTGCATCCTTCCTCTTCTTCTCCTTCCTCTTTTAAATTGTGTAGATAATGGCCTTTTTGAAAATCTTGCGGCTTATTTTCCAATTCTGCCACAAGAATCTTAATTTGAGCGTTCGTCGTTAGCCGCTTTAATTTCTCTCTGTTACGTTGAAGGAAGTAAAATGACTGACGATAAGAGATGATAAGAGACGATAAGAAACGAAAAGAAACGATGGCGATAATGTTGACGATCATACCGCAACAGCGTCGTCTGACGATACTGTTGACGATGGATTCGAACGTCATGCCAATGTTATCGTATCGTCACTGACGATGAGATATTCAGCATAAGACCGCTTTTAATTTGAGCTGTAGGAAGCCCAGAATTGAAATGATCTCGTTTTGAATCCTTCGAAAATTGAGGTCACGATGAAAGATTTTTGACGTCGAGGAACGAGGCGTTGATTGCATGACAAGAAAGTGTGATGTTTCTGTTTGACCTAAATCGCATTTTCCTATGTCCCCGGTTTTTAGCAATTTGCGAAAGCGCTCTACCAATGTAGAAGTACCAGGCGAAGACGATGTTAATGGGGGTGAGGGGGTGAGTTCCAAAGGTGACGTTTTGGAGCTCGTCCTGGCTTTCATGCTGTATAGCTAAATGAAAGAGCGACTGATTCTAGAGACGTCAAGGTGTCATACCTTTTTGTGTGCGAACTCGTCGTTCACGACCATGATAGATTTTTGTGACTTTGCCCAACCCGATTTCACTCTCATGACGAACTACGACAAGATCGCAAATAGAAATAAGTTTTTTAGGGGACTTCTACTTATACCATTTACCTACAGTGATTTTTTAGTATCGAATGGACCCGCACGGTCAACTCCGAGTTCGTTCATCCAGAAGAGCTGCAATATTTTTACAAGTTTCTTCACTCGAAGAGGTAAATAACCACCGAACAGACCTTAAGTTAAACGCAAAACTGCAATCACCTCGATGAATCAGCTTATAAAAAGTTATTAAGGGGGGAACCTGGTTTAGAACACTGAAAATTGCGTATGTAATGTTTCAAGTACTTTTGAAATAGGTTATAGATACACAAATCTTGCAATAAAAAAAATTACTTTCACTTTATTTGATACTGTTAAGAAATAACAATTTGTATTTGTTTGTGGCACTTCTCGCTCGAAGAGTCTATTTTGTGAACACGATAGCGATCGTAGTTTTCACCTGAAACATAAAAACGAATACTTTTTTTGTAGCTTAGGAGTTGTTCTTCTATGTGAACTAAGATATTGGAAGAAATTTATTGAAAAAAGTTAATAAAACAAATTTTTTTATTGTGATTCTTAGGTTTACATAGAAGCCTACACTATTAGCTGTAAAAAAAAGGTCACTTATGAAAATGCGATAGTTACAACTTTTTTAATCGTGCGAACAAAACAGAAGAACACTGTTCTAAGAAAATCGCGTTCAAAGTTCTCACGCCTGCTTATCAGCCTTCTGAGCGCATTGTCTCTCAGAGGCCATTTCTGCGGAACAATTAGGAATTTGACTCTGAAATTTTGTGGAGATATTTCTGAATATATTTCTAATTGAATAAGTTTCAAAAAATAGATTTTTTGACCCTCTAAACCAGGTTCCCTCCTTAATATTAAATTGTATTTGATTTTCGAATTTCGATTTAATTTAAAAATGTTTAATTCTTTCATATACTTTCAAAGGAGTGATCATTCAAAAAGGTACTTACGCTTTAAAGCCACCGCAGTCACAGATCTTGCTATTTTTTACCATATCAATACCAATACAAAGGCGCTAAAATTAGCAAACAACAAAGTACTGTGAAAAGAGAAGTTTTTGTTGGTCCAACCAAGTTCCAAGTTGCCAATGCCTACAAATCTAATTCAGAGTTTTCCAGAAAGGTGCTACCGCGGTGGCGTTAAAACGTGAATACCTTTGTAAACTATTAACAGCTCTCCCATGTTTATGTGGAAAAATTATATAGAAATATCTATGAATTAATTGTTAAGGACTTATTTATGATAAACTACCGAAAATATTAAATTTTTCTTTGAGCACTTCCTCATTATGTTCTAAATTCATAAGATAAGCGGCTAAAAACGATTTAATATCCGCTGCCTGACGTACATGAAGCTGAGCAAACGCTTTGGTCAACGTCGCACCCATAAGACATTTTATTTCATCCACAACATCATCGACCATTTCAAGCGATTTACCTACGTTCATATGTGAAAATATAAACATATTTACAAATGGATATACATCAGCACTATATTCATACCTTTTGGAAGCCAATTGTAGTCCTTAAAACAGCAACAATTACTTATATCTGGCAAATTACATAATTGAAAAAAAGATTCTAATTCATTTTCACATTTTTTTATCCAGGAAACTTCTTTTACAAAGAGTTTGTGCATTTCGCAAATATCCTTTTCACAATTATTTATCACAGTGGGGTCATCTGAATTGATAGCATATCGTTTTAAGTAATCAACTGTTTTCTCATGAAATTGCCGGAATTTGCATTTTTCACTATTTAATCCAAAAATGCATTGGCGTGCATCATTAATTATTTCGTCTCGGTTTTTATTCAGTTCAGCAATTTTCTTTGAGACACACTCATTTAGATCGTGCATCGTAGTTATCTTTCGCGTAAAGTTGATGTATTTATCTGTTCCTAAGCATTCTTTACTGTTTATTCTTGCACAACCATTATTTATCTTATCCATTTGATTCTTAAATTCATCTTGTATATTACGCAGCTCAGTATTTATTCGCCGTAAATCGTTATCATGGCAGACTAAAGTATTCAGGATTTCATGGACGCGATTCCTGTGGGGGTTGGGTAGCTCTTCTCTGCAGACGGTAAGCATTTTTATTACATATATTCAATAAAATTTACAAAAAATAAAGTCAAATATTGAAAACAGGCAGGGGAGCACGGAAATAAAAAAGTGGCACCTACTAAGACGAAATAATTTAATGGAAAATGACAAATGGTACATTTAAAACAGATAGAAAGTATATTTATAAGGTTTCTTTCGGAGCAAGTCAAAAAATCGTCAAAATATTTTCCTCTTGTTATAAAATAAGTATTAACACATTCAAAGGTGGGCCATGGTTTGCTCCATTTATGGAGCTAATAGGCCAAAAAGTACAAATATCCATACCTATTCTTATTTTTAACGTAACATATTTACTTACCAAAGATTATTCGGAATGACCAATTTGGTTTTACATCTTTGATATTGATACATGAAATTTACTGTAATTTCACAACTGAGTTTCTAAATTGATATTTACATATGTACATATGTTTGATTTAATAACAAGCCCTTTCACGGGATGCAGACTTTTATTGTAAGAGTTCGAAATTCATTTTCCATTGAATTGAATTTGAAATTTTGAAATAAAATTTTGAAATTTGTAATTTTTACATGAAATTAGAAATTAATTTTTTCCTACATCTGACGGCATCTTTATAGTCAGCAAGCATTTTATCAGCCAATTGAATAAAGAGTTTTTTTTTGTTGCTATTTGTATTCCAGTCATACCATTTTGCAGGTTCCTAGGATCTACAAATATTTTATTGCACACTTATATATGTACATGTTCTAACTTAAAACTTTGTGCCTTTATAAGAATAAATTATTACCATTATTTGTCAATTTTAAACCAATAGTGCTTAGTATAATTTATCTATTATTAGGTCTAAATAACCACAAGCTGAAACTAGCAACTTAACATAAGAATTAAATGTCATTTTTGGCGACTCATAGTCTGTTGTGTGAACGGAATAATTCGCCGTTATTCTTTGTTCGATTTAGTATATGTACGTCTAAAACGACAATTTACGATGTGTGCCCTTCTACATACATACATATGTATCTTATCATGTTACGTTAATCAAAAATAACTCAAAAGTGTAATACAAAATAAATTATTTTAATTAATATTATTAACGTAAAAATATATTTAAATATCCTCTTTAACACCAACTTGGTTCCGCTTTGCATTTTTCATAGAACCATCGGGTTAACCGTGAATCCATCGTCGAAAGGTTACGAATTTCTGCTTCTAAGTTAAAGTCTGCTGAACTAATCTGAAATAAATAAATATACATACATACATATATCATTATAATACAATTTCATGAAAGAAAAATTATTTTGCATTTGCAAATGCATTTTATTTACTATTATTTTCGAAACCTCAATATGAATAGCCCTGTACATTTAACTCGCAAACATTATTTCCTATTAGAACCAATTATTGTCTTTTATATCCTAATGAGAATGAGAAAAATCAAACCTCCGCTGATTTATACGGAACAAACGTCAGTATAGGCATTGCGAAGCGGTCGCTACATGACAATCTATTATGAATAAGGAATTAAATTTTTTTGATTTATATGGTGCTAACTCTTCACATTTTTTACAATATTAAAGCCCATAAAATTTTTAAGCTAATTTACATACATATATGTGTTAACCGCCGCCTTTATAACAACTCAAGTAAAAAAAACAGGTCTTTAATTTTTACACGAACGGCTGATGGTTTTTATGAGGAGCTTTTTTTCATGTCAGAAATACAATGAACCCGAGCATTTTGAATGGCAGTACGCAATACCAACCACTCTGCTACCACGGCAGCGAAGGGAGGATTAGGAATAAAAAAAATTTTTATATTTTTACTGAACAAAGTTGGGAATTCACCAAATTCGACTCATAATGTAAGCGGGTCGTCTTCATTTGAGTCATTGCGTATTGTGAAAGATGCGGCGCTTGCAACTTTTCGAGAAGCATGGCAGCAATTGCAATCACCGGTAATCAAACTATGGTATCAAATAATGTGATAGTTGCAAGCACTTTGAAAGGGGGCAGAACGGTTGATTTAAATTTAGTTTCCAGAGAAACTTACATTTGCGATGAAAATGCCCTGTCTTTCACACGGCCAGGTATACGTGGCGTGTACTCGAGTTGGAAAACCATCTTCACAGCGCATTTACGCACCGCACAATATATCAATTTTAGACTCTTTGGTATATACCCTGCATTGCACGCCATGTGACGATACATTCGACATATTTCCATTAACATAAAAATTTAAATTCATTAATTCAAATCAATTTCATGACAAACTGTGCCTCGCGAGCACGAACCGTATTCGTCCCCCGAATCTGGGTAAGTGCAGTCAAAGAAACAGCCATGAAAACCACCGAGATCATAAGCCATTGATCAAACATCTGAGATAGGAGAAAAAAGGTCGAGTTGAGTAAATAACATAATTTTAACTTACATATATACATATATATTAGTGCCTGTTACGTAAATGTATAATTTTTAAAGCGAGGTTTAATATGAATATCAAAATCTGTTTTTGGTACTTTTTCTTTTAGGCTCTAAAACAAAATAATAAATACCCTGCATGAGAACAACTCAAACCAACTTTGTAAGTAACGGACACTCTAAAGAACCTTAATTACTTACTTTACTGGTGTAGACACCGCTTTCGTGATTATAGCCGATTTACAACAATGCGCTAAACTACCTATGCTACTGAAATTAAAAGTACATAAAAACATAAAAAAAAATCTTAAATGAAATTACCATTGTTTTGGGGAAAATTCTTTTCATTTCAATTTTATGCAAATACTCATAGTGAGCCTTTCGTAATATGTCAACCTCTGATGCTTTCAAACAAGGCAAACATAAATCGCACTCCGGTTTATTACAAGACCTGTGGCACATATTTTTGGCACAGTCATTGAGTTTCACAGCAATATTTTTATCAGATGTTATTATATCTTCATTAAACAAGGATCTGAAAAGAGATGTTATTAAAAATATGCTATGAATATTTTTATATGCATACATAAAACATATCGTTGCTGCGTCGAAAACGTTTTGTTATTTTTTAGACATTTGGCTCTTTTTATTTTAAAAGAGTTGTGATCATATTTAGCTCGTATTACCGCTTTACTATCAGGCGGTAATTGACTGAAAAATAATAATCATTCCTTATTGATAAAGAAATAGATTTCAGTTATTTGTTTCCCAAGAACGGCTATACTTTTCTTTTTTGGCGCAGTGACAAAATGCTAAGATTCCGTATCAATAATAAACAAAAAGTTTCACTTACGTCTTAACGGTTTTTAAAGATGATCCCACTCCAACGAGGTTAAAAACGTTATACAAAATCTGTTCGTATAACAATGCATTTGGTTTAAAATGTGCTGAAGAAAGGTTAGGAGACATATTAACTTCCATGAGATAAACTTGCAAATTATCGTCCAAAATCAAATCAAATCGGAGCAGCTCAAAAAAATTTCCTTTTTTAAAAGGCCTCATCGCCATTATAATATTATTCAATTTTGAAAAAATTGTCTGACGTATGATGTCTTCGACTTGAATCCAGATCACTGACGGATCTAATGACTGATCTCGAACATATGCATCAAAAGCAGCCCGCATGCTGCCGCCAAAAGTGTCGAAATACTTTTTTAAGGAAGGAACATCCCAAGTTGCCAAGTAATTATCGCCAACAACATACTTGTCCACATTTTCCGTATCGAATGGGTAGTATTTCTCAGGACAATAGCGAAACAAAACGTCACCTGAATACATGTACACCATCAAGGGATTAATTGAAGTCAACACCACATAAACACCAATGTCAAATTTATAACCATCTACTAAAAATGGATTATCAACAAATTCTTGAATGAAACTATCAGTAGAACTTAAATTCACAGCACTTGGTGGACGTATACTGATGGATCTGTGATTGTTATGCTTTTCAACAAATAAAGAATTGGGTTTGCCTTGAGAATATTTTTCAAATTCATTCCTTTGTTCAGGCAAACGAAAAGCCTTAGGCATAAAAGGAAGAGCAGAGGTAGAAAGGTCAACTTTGCTAGTTATAAATCCGATTCCTGGAAAATGGTTTACGGTTTGCGAGGGTAATAAATTTCGCATTCTTTCCGACAAAGACCGGAAAGGATATTCATGTGCCCAAAGAAGTGTCCAATTGGTATCATCTATTGCTGTCTCCTCATATCCGATTTCCTGCAAAATTCCAACCACATGCTGCAGATGACAATCTTTCGGTTTAATAGGGGGAAATGTCGCATATTTAAAATGATTATTTGCTGACGTATTGCCATCTGGCAGTCCAGTATTGAATTCAGATTTTAAGCAGCTACGATCAGTAATCAAGAACTCCAACACTATTGCCGTACAGATTGAAGCTAATAAGAAAGCCAATATAGTTGTTATAGGAACTTTTTTTCGCTCCTCTAGGTCAACACCAATTTCGTTTTCAACCTTAAATAGAATTACATATTACCTTTAAAGAAATTTAATTACAAAATACAAAGTTTAGTAATCTTACCATGTTTTCAGACTTTATTTCACAACTTTCTTTCATTTTAACCAAAATACTATATGGAATTATCTTAGATGTAGCGACCAACTAAACTAAAATTCATAACATTACCAGGTGAAAGTACTATGCATAAACAAAAGATTCACGTACATTTTATTACTGCTTTTTGCCTTTGATCAGAGCAGAGAACGCAGAGAACGTAAATTCAATCTGATCAGAGAATGTAAATACAGAGAATGTAAATACAATGTTGTATTTACGTTTTCTGAACCTTCTCGTTGTATTTACGTTCTCTGCTGCAATACATCAACACAAACCATGCAGAGTTGTAATAAACCGTATGAGTTCGTTACCGACTACACTGTCTAGTACCTAGTAACGAAACGCTACACACAAATATATATCATTTCAAAATATGCAAGCACCGTTAGCGCGTGTAATAAACGTTTATTGACTGATCGTATTGTAACGATTTTACTTAATACGGCTCGATGATTTTCCAAGTCCTTCAAAATCGAATAAATGAAAGACAACAAATTTGTTGTTCAATTTCTTAATTGTAAAAAAACGTTGTCAAGGTTTATTTATTTCTCAAAAAATCAAAATTTGCTTTACGACAACTTGTTTTACAACTTTCACACTACTCTTTACCCAACTTGTCGCTAACGAGATTATTTTGTAACTGACTGACTGCTTTTTATTTTCTCTTCGCAGGTTCATAGGTATCTGACATTAAACATATTTCACTTTCAAAAATCTACTTTTTTTTTGAGGATTTTCATTTTTTTAATGTTTACACGTTCAAAAATAACGTATTTTCCAACCCCTGATAGCGGACTTCATAGTGTATATGCCTTTCATGGTTGTTGCATTACAACTTTTGTAATTTAAATCGAATTCAAGAAGATGAGGAGCTGACTGTATTTGATATATCTACGTCTAACAGTATTAGACGTCACGCAACCCTGATCTCGTGATGATACTTATGTCGGTTCTGTGAAGCCAATTGGTGTATTTTACGAAGTTCAGGAGATGAAATTTCCGAGAAATCGACAAGGGAGAGCTGGACAGTAGCAGAAATGTTGTTTGAGAAGCAGCCCATTCTTCTATCATGAGTCTCCACAACACAGTGTCCGGTTACTAATCCGGTTTTTATACTTATAGGGTTTAGAAGAAGTAAAGACTTAGTTCTATTCACTTGGCAGGGTAACAGTGGAAACTATTCAAAATTTTTTTTTTTTTTTAAATGGATAATCGTATGTTTCATACAAGAGCAAATAGCTGGTAAAGAATTATTATAAACTAGAGAAAACTATACCAATACCTTAAAAGAAAGTGAGGTAGGACGTATGTTTTCTGCTTCAAAAGGTAATCTTATTTGGTAATTTCCAAAAGTTTCAATATTTGTTTAAATTCCCATAATTATCCCCGATTTTCTTTTGGCTGTGCTTTCCATTATGGTTCCAATGCTTGTTTCAGCCAAACTAATTTGACCAATCCTAGTGAAATTTGCAGGAGTTATTGCTGTTGATCTTATCTATGTTTATTTATTAAAAATAACACATAAATGTTTATAAATTATACATAATTTGTTGCTAATAAATTTACACTTTCATTCCAAATTTTTACTTAGCACGTGCACTTATTTAACATACATGATGCAAAATACTAACTTTGATCTGTTCACATACGATTACTAAAAATTGTTGTATTTTTATTTTACTTGGTATTAATATATTATTTTATTTTTGTGTATTATTTTGATATTTTTTGCAAGAGAAATGTCCGACAATAACAATAAGTGGGTGCTGCCATACAATTATAATTTATAAACACATTTTTTATACTTCATGAAAGAAATGAAAAAATATTATGCAAGGTGTTGGTCTGGCCCAGAGTTACGGGAAGACCCGTTCTTAAACATTATAGAAGCCGTCAAATATACATATAAAGTATAAAAATTTTATTCTAGTTGTTTTATTTTAGAATTTCTTTTTTATATGTGGCAATACCAAAATTCACAGTAATGGCACTATGTACAAAATAATAGGGTAAAAAATCTATTTTTTTGCTATTTCAAATGTAAATATCTCGAAAACTATAGGTCTCCGGTAGGTTCGGTTATCGGTTTCTGAGAGAGGGTAGAACCCCCTACCACCCCTCATAATTAATTTTTTCCCAAAGCCTGGAACCATAATGGAAAAGTTTCCCATTTTTTTCCTCCCCCCGCCACCTCTTTCTCTTAAAATTCGAAATTCAACGTTGAGCAGTGTCAAAGGCTGCAACTACCCAACTCACTCTCCAGCCGTCCATAACTGACGACGTTAGTAGTGAAATACATACACGAGCTATCGACGCTGCTGAGAGCGGCGAAATGTTGCCAGCTGCCTGTGTGTTTGCACACTTTTGAACAAATTCATAATTTTCGTCAACGAATTTCATAATTTATTTGCTTTAACATAAACACAAGGCAAATATACATGATCTATATAGTAACAAATAATTAGTTACGCATTTAGTTTTCATTTCTTTTGAACAAAACTACGCATTATCTTCGATTATTTAATGTTACTTTAAGAAAGGCTATACTGGCAACCTTGTATAGCAACGAAAAATGAGCCGAGCCGGTGTTACGGAAAAATCATCTGCGACACAAACGTCAGCAACGCTATGGTAAATCGGTGACAACTTTGTGTTTACATGGCGCTCTCATAAGATAGGTTACTATGGACGGTTGGTACGCGCGTTGGGTAGTTGCAGCCAAAGTCTCTTTCCATTCTACTTACTTCACCTGTATATTATTTCATCATGGAGTGACACTACCTTGTTTTTTGCATCATGTTTTTAATTGTTGTCATTCTATTTCCATTTTTCTTTTTATATATATATTCAATTTTAATTTTTTTTTTTTGAGGTATTATTGCCGAGAAGGAAATCGAAATTTTAATTAACGGAATTCAAAATGTTGCGTACAGAAAATAATGTAAATGGGAAAGCAAAGGAAAAATTCAACGCCGCTAAACGTTTTAAGCAGCTGGCTCGTAGTGCTCTAATAAATCAGCAATGGTTGTCAGAGTTAGCTGAACAACAGAGGACGAAAGTTGCTGTGCATCGCCCAAAAGTTACTGGCATACTAACAAATAATGTACGGACTAATATAAATATTGTTTGTGAAAATATTACTACATATTTACATACATATGTATGCATTTATGAATTCTAGGAAAAGAATCTTCTTCGAAAATTTAGTGGCTTCAGAACCGATTCGGAAAGATTATCTCTCGTAAACCTGATGGCTAATCTTATTGTATTCTCACAAATACCTCCCGTAAGTCATTAGCATATTAGCATATATCTATGTCTATGCATATATGAATATAATTTTCGTGTTACGGTGTTTGCAACCAAACTCCTCTGAAACGGCTTGACCGAATCTTGTGAAATTTTTATGTATTTTATAATATATTCAATAGGTTCTAGAATAGGTTGACAATATGCTCAAATCGTCTTTATTGTTGTTGTTTAGCTCCTGCCTCTTGCAACTGCATTTTTCGGCTGGATACTCTTGTATTTCACACGTGCAAATCAGACTCTTTACGTCTTGGTAACAATGCTCATAGTAAAAATACACAAATAGTATATGTAGATGCAATTGTAGTACTTAGTGCTTGAAAGCAATGCACTGATAATGTCTTTTTTATTCATTTGCTTATGTTTCACAATTATAAAACACGGATTAAACTTTTCTGATTCCTCAAAATGTTACGCTCACTACGTTTAATAAAAAATAAACCAAGAAATAATAAATGAGAACTAATAACTGCAGAAAGGTGATAGAAAACGAATTTTTAAATCCAGACTGTACAGTTTGTCAATTCGTCGGTGATCCCTTCTCCGGGCCCTGAACTATTTCCGAGAAACAAACCTATTCCATTTAGGCATACCATCTAAAAATTTAACTTAATCAAACCATAAATAAATATTTATGCATTTTTTTTTTTCAAATCGTTCACACAATTTCCAGGAAAACAAGAATTTCGATTAAAAAGCATACCTGCTGGTGGAAGCTGGAGTGCTTTTATGCAACCGAAACATATAACAGGACGGCAATGATGAACGACTTGTAGAGTTTGGTCTTTGTTCGTCGAAACCGCTCCACCGGACGGTCGCTGGCAGCAGCTGCATTTGGATTTCAGCAAACCCTTAAACCGAATAAGTGGGGTTTCTCACGGTTCCAGGGCACGCGACTGCAACTATGTGGACGCAAGTGCAGGAGTTGAGTATAGCCCCGGGACTGTAACAGCATACCCAGAAGCTTGACTACACCCCTTTATAAGTTTAATTATTAATATCACACAATTATTCTTTCCGCTCATTTATTTGGATAACTTGAGCAATGCAGAGGTGCCAGATATGAGTTGGAAATTTCGTCTATCTAGTTTGATGACTCTGGCCTTAAAAACAATTGCCATTTCCCAGATCTCCCGTTCGCTCGCCAACCTTAATTTATATGAGAAAAAAACGAAGTGCAGTAGGAAAATAACCATTATTTTAAATTTTACTAAAAAGTATTCATTTATTCATCAATAACTATCTTATCCCCTTCAAGGTCATCCCCCTCAGATATAATACACCTATGCCAGCGTTTTTTCCAATCCTCGAAAGGCGTTTTTTGGTATTGCCAATAGCTCCTCTTTCGATTTTTCTTTTATCCTCTTATCGTAGCAAAACGCTTTCCTTTCATCGTTGGCTTAGAATGATTTCAATGACATAGAAATACACCCATGATTCGTCAGCAGTTATGACCTTTTTGTGATAATTTGGATTGGAGTTCAACATCTTGTTTTTGCTCAAAATCTATTAAATTTGGATCTTCGCTGCCGCACGCTTCATGCCTAAAACATCCGTAAATATTGCTTGACAAGAGCCGAACTATATGCCAACATCATCTGCAACCTCTCTGATAGTTATTCGGCGATTATCAAAAATCATTTCTTCACTGTTTTCGTGAGCTATTCCGTTTCGACATCCACTACGCCAAGTAATACAATGCCTGAAAACCCTTCGTAATTAAAAAAAAATCGAATCGGAATGTGGTAAAGCTTTAATTAATATATTTATCATCCAGTACTTCTGTTATTGCTTACAACACATCAGGTAAGAATTTCTTTATTGTTTTTCATAATATTCGGGAGAGGAATTCCAGTTAGCGATACATAACAGCGTTATTGCGGCGCGAAGTTTAAAAGGGTTCCAGGCCGAATCTCTGTGTACCACTTCTTTACATGACATCTTATAAATCCATAAACACTTTCAAAGAATCAAGAGCGCGGGAACTAACACATTGTTCCTCTCAGACGACATTTTCAAAATGACGATAACATAACCTAGAAATATGCAGCATTAAAATTTCTTAAGAACTGAAGTTTGTTAGTTGTTAAGAAATAAATAATGGAGGCATTGAGTAATAGCATATACATTTCATTATTTATACTTAAGAGTGATTAGAAATTATATCAGATCAGATATCTGAATAATCAATTTTATTAGCATATACCTTCCGAAAAGCTCCCAGCAGCAAATCGTTAGGCTTCGGTAGCGAAAAGGTAAAGTGGAAGTTGTGCCTATAACTGAATATTAACTGGCGATGACATGGGAAGTTAGTATAACAATTAATTTAGAAATCACGTTTACAATTTTAAATATATATAAAAGATACTCGGGTGGGTCTTCTGCAATATCAACTATCGGCGAACAGAGGTTTCCTTTTTTTGTTAGAGCTTGCATTTGAGGATCGATATGATTTACCTCTTCACTTCCGAACCGTAATGCCATACCAAATTTGTGGGGTGGGTGGTTAAACTTCTATACTAATATATTGTATACTGTCTACATATTTATTACAAATAGAAATTACGAGCGCGTTTGGCACCATATGCGTACTTTATAATTATTGATCCGAAAAGAAAAATAATAGAAGAAGGAAGGCAACCGGCGACAGTATATTTTGTACTTAATGGCGATATCGCGGTAACAAAAAAAGAATGGAGTTCGGTAAGCATTATAAACTCTCAGTTTCGATTATACCTAAAAAGATGTGATCTAATTGCTTTTATAGGTAAAAAATAAATATATTGATAAATTGGAGTACATATGTGGGCCCGGTGAGTGGTTAGGGGAGATAGAGATTCTTGAAAATCTTAAACGACGTCATACGTACACCAGTAAATGTAAGTTAATATATGTATGTTTGTATGTACACATGCTCATCACAGCTTATTGATTCTAATAGACCAATCTTTTGAATAATATTTGATTCATTTTTTATAGCAAATGATGGAACCTCAAGATTATAAATACATAAATAGTATGTACATATGTATGAACACATAAGCGAACATCTTATAGTTTACATACAAATAAATTTTTAGAAATATATACGAGTATATCTGTATATCTGGCGGCCGAGTGGTTAGCATTGCATATTGCCATTCGGAAGGTCAGGGTTCAAATCATGATGCGATGAACAGGAAGTTACAGAAAATTATTTAAAAATAAGGCTAACCCTTCCGTGTATTTCTGACATGAAATAAAAAAATCGTCAGCCGTTCGCAGGTCCCTCCATTTGTTGCAAAAACATCATGACGCAAAACCACAAATTAGAGAAGGAGCTCGGCTAAAAATCGCTTTAGCGGTTAAAAAGCGGCAATTATATATATGTATGTGTTTATATATGTATGTCTGTATACTTATGTATTTGTTCATCTCTTATTATAAGCCGCCTCCTAACGGGGAGTATTTATTTCATGGTTTGACATTTCCGAGGTCGAGAATGGCATTAACCAAAAAAAAAAAGAAACAAAAGAACAGGGTAACGTATTGAAAAACTCGTTTTTTGTGTGTTATTACCTACATTAAGGAATGGTTAGTTGGTTGGCAGAGCTTTTGAGAGCCTGACCGCACCTAACCTACTGAGTATACTACATGTGCTCCTCACGCTTATCTTAGGTATGTGAACAGATCGATCTATTTTTTTAATTGTTTTAGTTACTTCCAACCATGCGTGCCCACCTCGATAAAGCTAAAGTTAGGAACATCGTGAAGGATGTGTCGTTTCAATCGGATGAAGGCTGGGCACTCGCAAAAGTATTGCTCCAGTGCTTCGTCACCTTCTGTGCCTGCTCCGCAATTATCATTCATAAAAGACCAAATTGTGATGCCGTTCATTTTTTCTAGACGAGATTTATTTAATCACCAGGAAATTTTGAGTTCAAGATATTCAAGCGCCATGGTATTGAAACTAACTCGGATTTAAGTCATTCACATGTCCACTTACCTAGAAAAAATCAATAGAGATCTAGAAATTTCAATCAGTTCAAGAGAATGCTTAAGCAACTCTTGTTTTAAAAGCAAATTTGAAAAAAGAGAAAATAGTATTGCACGCCACTTGCTACATTGTGCTGTAGGGATTAAAAATAAACAGTTAGCTGATAGCAGTGCTGCCATACTACAATTGTGACAATAAACCAAACTTCCCCCGCATGAAATGTAGCGGAGGTTCAAACCGCACGTGCTCCGACTATTTAACCCTAGACAACGCTAATGTATAACAGTCAAAAGTACATAGATGTCTTGCGCTCCCTACATGTCAAATTTTGATTTACCTTTCTATTGATGTAATCGATAGGCAAGAATATCACAAAAATAACAAATTAATAATAAACCGATCAAACCACCTCCAATATTATAAAGTCGAAAATATTCATCTCCTTCAAACAAAACTAAATGAATCCAAAAACTATGAGATAAGAGTTATTGGGATCAACTGTGTCAAAGTTCAATCCAAACGCCCGAAATTTCTCTCTTATAGTCAAACTACTAAAAAGCAAGATCACTTAATTTTTTTTTTTGCAAAATCTTGAATTTACTTTCATCCAGGAAGCGTACATTGCCCCAAAAGTGGAAAGATAATATTGGGTTTTTTTACCTTTCTTACCATTTGGCAGCGTTCGCGGTCATTTAAAGCCTTAGGCCTGCCTGTACGTGTTGCGTTTTGTAAAGATGAAACCCCCACAAATCGTTTCACAATGCTTCTTATAGTGTAGCAGCTTCTGACCATCATTTCACCAATTTCTGCATATGATTTGCCCTATTTAGGCGAATATAAAATATATTTTCCGCTGAGAAACATTAATTTCACTTTTGTTCACTATAACTGAAGATATTATATTATGCTGTTTGCGGTTGGATTTTTGAAATAAAACGCAATTGCTCATGTAGACATAACGGGACTTTTGAAAAAAATTTGCTAGATCAATCAAATTTAAGCGATAGCCCAGTGCAATTTAAGTGTGCCATTTTTGTTATTGTTGTAACTGCAAAAATATTCCCAAAGTGCTTTCTGGGGAATGTTGCGGGAGTGTGACAGTCCTTGGCCGGATAAAAATCTGGGTTGTTCACGGCTGTCGCCGGAACTATTAGATTTTAGTCGCCTTACCGCGTTTAAATTCTTGAACCCCTAACCCGCAGGGGATAAGTGTGCCAATATTTTTCTATGGTGAAAATTAGTCCTTTTTTCATTTATAATTAGTATAAATTTAACTTGAAAGATAATTAAATGAATTGAATGTTTGTCCCTCTGTCTAGCATTTTTTTCGGATTTGAAAATCTTTTCGTAAGTGGTCCAAAAAAGGTGTTAAACTGGAACTATCTTGCTGTGTCAATAATTTAGTTCATCACTGTACATACATAAGCCGAAAACATCATAAAAAAATTATTATAGGAAAAAACTGTATTTCTGGCAGAAAAGTAAAGCTCCTCATCAAAAATAATCATACATTCCGAGGCGGCTTAGTATAAACTGTAGGTCGCTAAATTTGTCGAAAAAACATCAAGACGCTTACCACAAATTGGAGGAGGAGATCGGTCGAAATATATTTATGTATGTGGCGTGACAATAGGTATCGTCTACTTCTTTGTTAAAGGTCGAATTCAGCATCATTAATGATTTTGTTTATGGAGAAAAGTGAACTTTATCACTAACAGCTTTTAGCTTAATTTTTTGTTTGAATTAATTTTCTATAACATTTGGATGTTGGTACGCAATACGTAATGCTAACCACTCGGCTACAGCGGCCGATATAGCACTGACTGTATTTTGTCAAATCCTTTAGATATAACACTAATTACAATGATTTGACAACCTCTGTCACATGTCCTCGACGATGATTACCCAAATCCCAAATACTCGTTCCATATACTTGTACATATATTCTTCAATTGGCTTACCTAACTAATTATCAGTAGGAAAATATTTGAGCAAGCAATTATCTGTAGCATGAATTTTGCTATGTCTGGATTGAATTCCGTAAATTCTAGAAAAGTCGAACTTTGAATTGCATTCGTGGACTTACACTTTTTTTTAAAAAATATCGTTCGGAATTTTTTGATGGATGGTTAAATTTGATGGGATTTAATTTTCTGAGGCGCCTGCGAAGAATTGCTGTCATTCGGTCAATTTTCAATATTTTTCAACCAGTATTTCATAGAATATATTTCAATTACTACTCTTTAATGTACAATAATCAGAAATAAATTTGCTTTCACCGTACGCCCAAAAAAAATCTGTAAAAACCTGTTTTTTCTGCCTTCAAAACCCTACCCCCCTTAATATAACTATTATCCAGCTTATAATATATTTTGCATTCTTAATGTATTGCAATTGAATATTAATTAGTTAATTTGTTTATGTTTTATTTTTTTTTTGTAGCCGAAGTTGAATTGCTTGCACTTGATCGCGCAGATTTTGAACGAATCCTAATGCCTTATGTAAAAGAAATTTGGGAAGAAAAGAAAACAGCTATGCGTTACTTAGGATATTTCAGTTTCTTTTCAAATGAACAGGTAATCGGGGCCAGTAATTACAGAATTTATTCTATTTTATTTAATAAAAGTCGCCTTTTAGATTGAAGTATTAGAAAATTAGAACTGCTCGTGTCGGCGAATCGATCAGAAAGGAGGAAGAATTTTAAGCTCGACCTAAGCTGGTTATCTTTCGCATGTTCGAATGTAGTTCAAAATATGGTGTTGTCTTTTTTACATATATGCAGTTAGACTTGGGGTCTTTACACCCACGGGGACGTGTTAAGGTCATCATATCGGCGCCTGTGATGCGAACTCGGTATCATACGCCTTTCCTCTCTTTCTGACATGTCTGTCATTTACCCGGATCCTGTTTTTGTCGATTCCTAATTTTCATTACACTTCCAGTATAACTCCGCCAACCAATCGGCGTCGCTGTCGGCTCTGTTTGTAAAAACTTCTATTACCCTAACCAGCTCGGGTGCTGCTGGCTCTACTTCGGTATCTGTCAAGTTCTTCAAACCGGCGTTGCTTTCATTTTTGAATCAGTATCTTAGACTTCCGATTAAGTTGCTTGTAGTACTGTTTTCAGCAATGATCACGAATTCTTCTGTGCTAGGTTTGATTCATTTGGGTTCGAAAATTTGGGGATAATCACGTTTTGCTGGCATATTATATTTTCAACTGGCTTTTAATTTGCATTTGCTTAATAACAGTGTTGTTAGCTCTCCAAATATAATATAAAAAAGTTTGTTTGTGAAATATTTAAACTAAAAGCAAAGCAAAATCATTCATTTCGAAAAACCTTTGGTAAATAAATATACTCGTATTTAGTCAAAAATAATAATAAAAATGAAGGGCTAGTCTAGTTCTGCGGTTGGTGTCCGTTTGCCGCTTTGAACGCCTGAAGTAAGGTGAACATCTGGTGTTTTCTCTGAGACCTGTAAGAGCGGATATTTTCATTTATCTTTTTGTTTTCTTATATATTTTACGTACTATAATGTCAATCGGCATAGCCTCAAAGACCAACCTCATTTATTAGGTGCTGGAACTATTCCTTTTGCGCAAGGTAAAATCTCAAAAAACCTGTGAGTTCTTCGTGGGGCCATCTTCTCAGTTTTTCCTCTTGCATTGTAAAATATATTCCATATATATATTTTTTTGGCGCGATTTTACTCACTGCCCCACTTCGAAGTGTTGCTGAATAGTAAAGTTACTATTACTATGGGCTCATTATTAAACAGCCATTAATTGGGCAATTTACAGACACAAAGAAATCAACTCTAGACTGCTCAACTTAGTGTGGTCATACCCACTTATTGTGATATCGCTGCAGTGTATACCGTATAACCGTTTGAGGAAGCTTTGTCAAGGGGGATTTTGTACCAAAGGTATCGCAGAAGTACATGTCGTTATTCGCTTACGAGCTTTTCCCGGCCATCGAAATTCTTCCTTTAGTCTGACAAGGACTTCAACCAGCTAGGCAGAGGTATACTCCTAATTCCCATTCGGACATTCCAGGGGTATACACCCACATCGTAGTCCATAGTACACTTGTTATGGTCTCTAACCTGAGACTATTGTTGCTTTTTCACGATAGCTAGTTTCTACGTGGGGGGTAGAAAAAGTTGAACGTGCAGCCATAGTAATCAGGTCGCTGAAAATTCGCCTTGGATTAAACGATTATTAAAACACATTCTTTGAAGAAGAGAGACATTTTATCCTCTCAATTTTGTTACTGAATAATGTTCACCGAGTTATTCCTTAAATATTACGTTTAATTAATTATGAATTTTGCTTCACTTTCATCCAGGTAATATCGGCTTGCCAACTGGCTACTCTTCAACAATTTGAACCCTATGAAACCATATATCATGAGAACAAAGGACTACAGACATTCGTTTGTTTTGTTATAAGTGGAACCTGCATGATTCTACAATGCTTAAGAATCAAGGTTAAATTTTTGCTTTAATTATTGCATCTATTAACTTGTCAAACCTTGAACCTAATTTGTATTTGTCATATATATGTAGGTCTCTAAAAACCAAAACCGGAAAAAATTTGCCCTTACTGATGTTGTGAAACGTAACGATGTATTTAGGAAAGTAAGCACTGCGGAAATTCGAAGCTTTATGCGAACCAAACCTCAATTTGACTTAACCCAATTTTCCCTCAAAAAAAATGAATCTGAATCAGATTACGATATTCAGCAACAAAAGAAGGTATTTAATATATATAAATATATTTTTATATTTTTTACGACAATTGGAAAATCTATGAATCAACGATAGCACATTTATCTGACATAATCGTTATCAGCCAGAATTTATTTGCCTTGTAAAGGTGTTTATTAAACAATAAATGGGCTGTATGTAATACAGAAGGTATTACAATTGCACTTGAATTCATATGTGGTACTCCTCAAGCGTACCCGGCTTCCGCTTTTGCGCGTAACCCTGGTGAATTATCATCTGGCTCCTTGCAACGAATGGACTTAAAGATGATCTTGTCATATGTCGGCCAAACGGCCCGAATACTTAGAACTGATAATAAAAGGAACTGGAATTCTGATGATAGAATTCTATAATGCTCATCTCTTTGAGAAACATAGGGATAGCCCAATTCTAAAAAATTAGCTAAAGCAAACATGCAGAGCAAATTGGCTTTATGACTTTTATGAAGTCCATTCCTTTGATCACTCCGGCACATCTGGAGATTGTCTTGTGAATTGTGTTTTTTAAGCCATGTGTTTTCGATCATTAAAAGTGATTTTTGGGAATTTTTATTAAAAAAAAAATACTTTTTCAATTATTTCAAAATTTTAAGAATATATTATATATATTATATATATACATGTTTCAAGAATATACAGTGAAATTTTTGAAGAAAAAAAATTAAATATTTTTTAGGTTATAGTAAAAAATGGTCCTTCACTGCTGCAGTGATTCCGGCCTTCTCCGTGGATAAAATCTAAAAAAAAATTCTCTACTGGATAATATTGTCTGCAAAAATCAAAAATGAAAAATTAACAATATGGCGACGTTTAAAAAAAATAGTCGATTTTCACCCAAAATGTTGGTCGTTTTTGGCCTGCCAAAATTCGATTTTTTGATCAGATCAAAAATCGATAGGTCATTGTAGGGAGAACTATATTAGAACATGTAAAAAAATTCGATAGTGATCGGATCATTTGTTTTTGAGTAATCACTTCAGCAAATTTGGAAAATGCTGTTTGGAGAAAAACGCGCTTAAAGATAAAATGATCGTTTTCACTCGTAGCTAATGCGACTCTCTAGCTGCCGAGCGGCTGCTCTTTAAATTGCTATAACTCAAAAACTATTTGAGATATCGATTTGTAATTTTAATATGTTATTTTTAAAGGTGTAATCTACCGAAAAGAAGAATCGATTGTTTTTTAAATTTCACACTAAGTGTGCCCCTTAAGCTGATTACAGCCAAAGCGAAAGCGAAAAATGCGATGGTTGGCATTTTGCCTGCTGGCTTTTTTCCCCAATTCGGTGCTTGTAGATATTCTTTGTGATCTCATGTAATTGCACAGTCACTGAAATTATGTTCAGTAAATTAATGCATAAAATTTATTATCTGCTTTCTGATATATGTAACTAATTTGCGCCAGCACCATATAGCAGGACGGAAACGATGTGGAAAATGTAGAGTTTGGTTTTCGTTCGTCGGGAGAGGACTTTACTATTCAATTGCCTACTCAGTCCAAAGTAGCACTTGTTGGCAAGAGTGATTATGCACTGGATTTCAAGGCTGCCGTTATTATTGGTATTGATGCTGGTTCCTAGATAGACGAAATTATCTACAACTTTCACGGGTCTTTCCCAATATTTGACGCATGGAGAATATCTGGTCAATGGTTTACTTACCAGGCTGAAAGCTACACTTATAAGGTCCAATCAGTTTGTTGACGGTGGGAATCAGTCTTTCACCCAATACGCTCGACAGGACCTAACAGCCGATATTAAAGAAGCTTATCCCACGCTAATTGACGCAGACTCTGGATGGATTGGGCACAGCACACTTAATTTCCAATCGTCGGGCATGCTTTCGTCCGATCATATTCTGCAAAGTAGCTGATGCATGCACCTTCGCCGCCATGTTTGAAGAGTTCTGCCGGTAGGCCGTCAGCTCCCGCTGCTTTGTTGTTTTTTAAGCGGACGGTTGCTATTTGAACTCCTTCATGGTCAAGTAATGGAATGTCATTTCCATCGTAATCGGTTGGGGTTTTGGGTTCACCCTCTCCGCGTTCTCTATTTTCACTGCTATTCAGCTGGTTGGAGAAGTTTTCGTTCCATACATGCAATATACTCTGGGCATCGGTAGCTAGATCACCTATTTGTGTCCTATAAGAGTCTGCCTCGGTCTTGAAACTTCCGTAAATCCTCGTATCTTCTCATAGGTCTTCATACTCACGCATCTGGGCCTTCATTTTTTTGCCTACAGTCTTGCTTCCCTCTTCATCTCTCGGTATCTATCCTATCCCGCGCGTATTGTGGTCGATCGCAACGTTGCACTCTCGTTTCTCTTTACTGCGATACGGCAGTCCTCATTGTACCGCCTCTTTTTCCGATCTTTACGAGTTTCGTTTGCAGCTCTACGTAGGAGTGTGTAATGCCGTCCCACAGTTCCCTTGTTCGTCGTAGTCGGCTAATGGAATATCTATTCCATCACCATTAATTTGGGAATCGAATGCGCCATCTTTTACCCAGCGCTGGATAAGCGCTCTAAGTTCATTATACACAAGTTCATTATACACAAGGCATCAGTCGTCAGATTACCACTTAGATGATTCTTAAGTGTGATCCGGTCTTGAAAACTTCTGCAGGTCGCGCATTTCTCAGTTTTCTTCCCGCTTCGTTCTTCAACTCTTTGTAGCTCTCCTACACCGCGCGCGTTATTGTTGAAGTTTCGTCATGGATGGAGAAAAGGTGATTTTTTGACATAAATTTGTATTTGGAAAGTAAGCTACTACAATTTTAATTAAAACAAATATAAATTTAAAAAATATCTCTCTTATTCACCGCTGTAGACAGTAAATATGTTGCCTAGGTGGTGGTTCAGATTCGATAAGATGCCTATTGGGGTGTTCCCTACGGTAGCATCTTCCTTAACTCGTAGCATAGATCGGTTCAGCAAAGTTTACGACCGGTCGGCCAATTGCTTTGTATCTAAGTTGCCAGCAAAGTTTCTTTGTAGACTTCGCTGAAGTCATCATCGTCTTCAAGTAATTGAAGGATTATTGAATCGCTGATGTGATATGAATATGCCATTATCTGCATATCACCTAATATAATAATATAAAAAAAATCTTCCCTTTAAAACGGGACAATGGTAAAAATAATTCTATGATAGCCGAATACTAAGTTGGGCGGCTAGATCACCAGCACCTCCGCAGCCAAAGGTCCGCCTTGATTACTTGTAGTAATGCCGGCTTTAGAGCGCAATAAAATTTATAATAAATACCCAGGACAAGAGTTTAATAGAATTGAAGGTTATAATAAGAGTGAAAGCGTATGTTTAATAACTAAGTTGGTACAATATTGTGGGTTGTCGAATAACTTAAAATTAATTTGCATAATTTTGTCTAGCAAACAGCGTAACGTTTTGATTTCTTAACAAGAATTTTTATAGCTAGCAACTCTAACTTTTGGTGCCATATAATACTATTCATATAAATGAGTAATACTAAAGTTTGCTTTTAGTAGTATATATTGAAAAAGCATCGCAATATAGGCTGTAAGCCTATTTTCCCCCATATACATATAAATATATACGTATTTAGATCTTAAACTAATCACAAATAACGATTAAATAAAGCCTATATATATGAAAATACTAACTAAAATTTATAATTTCAATCACCTTTTCTCAATTTAGAACTTCCCATTTTCTTTGTTGGGTAAATTTAAGTTACATCACCCTTCTTAATGATATTAATATTACATTATCATCCAAAAAGTTGAATATCCACCTATTTTTAAATCTTAGTCACCTGCAAATGAGCTCAAAAAAAAAGTTTAAAACTTTCACCGAAGACAAATTTAGAACGGCAACACACCGTACTCAATACTAACGGTTTTAGTCCAATTTCAGAGAATTGTAGCGCAAGATCTACTTAGGCGACCCACGGCTCTTGCCAGCGGTTGGGGCCTATCCTCAAATTCACTTTTTTATTCCATTATATTCTTCGTGCAATTTCTTTCCTTCACACTGCATTCAACTCAAAAGTGTGCGTAAAGAACTTTACTTGTAAGTGTGAAAGATGGTCTGAAGCCACACTGAAAATGTCCTATGATTTTGTTGTCGGTAGACTTCATCCTTTCACACAATATGCTTGATAGGACTTTGTGTGCGATATTGAAGCAACTCATTCCACCAGAATACTGCAAAAAAAAAGTTGATGCATACAACTTTTCAGCTCTTCGCTGTCTTGCTTGAACAGCTCCTTCGGTCTGGTGATGGAAAATCTATATCATTGTCATCGTTATTGCCTTCAAACAGGCGGAGAAATGTTCCTTTCGTTTCTTCTGAAAACGCATAATTTCTGAAAATGAGTCGCGCTTACTTACGACAATACCCTCGTACCAGTTCTTGACCTTGTCGAGTTTGCAAGCGTACGAAGGGAGTTTTAGTGCTGTCCCATTGTACGTTTAAACAGAGTTGCTAATTAGGGCTCTCAGAGAGCAGGAGTGAACAACTGTTTGACTGTAGATGTGTTCGCAGCTTTTATACGAGTATATCCAACCGGTTCGTTCGTTCGTTTTTTAACTGCAGCAAGATATTGGGTCGCGTCGGAAAGTGGAAATATCTTAGACTTTGGAGACGTGTCTTCCGTCTATCCTTAATATTTTTTTTTTTATCAAAATTAATGGTCATCAGGTTAGTACGGAAAAACTAAATAAGCTTAATATCAAATAGCTCAAGAGAGCTCAAGATTTTATTCAAAAATTTCCGAGAATTTCGAAAAAAAAATTTGAATATTTTTCCGCGCTGCTCAATACCCTTGCAAATACATATGTTCGAGTATGTACAAGTATAATAGTTACCATCTCGACTTTTTTTATTCATGGTATCATCGTAGTTATAAAATCGCAATGGATTACTGTTATAACATATATGTATGCGCATTTGTATCCTGGCATAATGTATAATTTTTTTTATATAGAATGTAATGGATGTCAAAGCATTTAAAGAGATGTGTGCCGGGCTCGAGCCTGACGATAAAGGTTCTGTGATATCTTCAAAATTCAGTTTTTTCTCTCCCACGCACTCCTTTTCAAGCTTTCCTATCGAAGAGGACGAATGCAATGAACACAATTTCACTGAAGATCAGGAAGAAGATGGAATATTATCGGAGGAAAGTTTCGGCGAATCAGAGGAAGTAGTGGTGAAAAGTTCGAGCTATAAAAATTCTGTAATTGGCTTGAAATTGAATTCAGAGGAAGATAATATGGTTTGTACGGAAATAATGCAACTAATAAAAGTATTCCATAAAATAATATAACTAAAATTATATGAATTTCTAGATATATTCCAAGGAAAGTATTGAGAATCACTTTATCGATGTGGGTAGGATTAACAAAGGCGGTGTTATCGGACTCTGCGAGGATATGGAACATCGTATTATTGTGGCAGAAACTAAAGTACAGTGTTTATTGTTACCCAGATACTGGCTGTTTGAACACAATCAAAATCCAGCTAATATGTGGCATAGACAAAGAATACAGTTAGAAATAAATATACCGTCTAGAGAAAAACTTTTCAAGTTTTATATGGATTTACGAAAATGGGACACTTTCAAAAATGAAATTACATCATCGTTTAAAAATTCAGGCACGAAATTACAAGATATTCCCATAATGGCCCACATTATATCATCAGGCCAATAAAATTTATACCGCCTCGTATGCACTGAGTTGGATAGCGATTCAAGAATGATTAATTAATTCCAGCCATCAAGAAACAATTAAGTGTAAATAAAGCTTTCCAACAAAATTATGCATAATCCCCTTATCGATCATTATAGGTCGGTTCTAATAGTTTCCAAGTGAAAGCATTCTACCATACGATATGTAAAACATTTTAACGCCTTATACGAAACTTAATAAAGAAATATATCGATTAAACAACTAAGCTTAATTTATTAAGTTATTATTTTCAAATACTTACAAATATCATCAACAGTATCAAGCTTTTTACTATAAATGAGTTAAAAAATGATTTATAACCAGACACTTGAAGTGTAAGTATATTATACATAGTAGGAAACTGGTGTAAGATAACGGGTTGGATATCAATGAAGAAAAAAGCCAAACTCTTCACATAAAAATAATCCACTGTCTTTATATTCCTTTCAATAAACGGAACTATTCACTTGTAAATCGGCCATGGCAATAGATAGCACCCTTTTCCGCAGAGTCACCGTTTGATGGGTAACACTCAAAAATAACTTGTGTCAACGGACCACCTTACCGTCTTTCAAATATAGAAATTGGTATTTTAAGCAGACTCTCAAACAAATTCGGCACATTCTCTCAGCGCTAAATCTATAAATGATATTGAGGAGGTGACCGGAATCACAATGTTTCTACAGTTCATCCCAAGCTAGCAGCCACATCAACTATAATATATCGCAAGGGAAAAATTAGATATCGTTATTAACTGTAATGAAATTGGGTGTAGTCAAGATTCTGGGTATGCAGTTACAACCGCTCTTCCAACTTCCAACTCTTGCATCCACGTCGCGCACAATGGAAACGTGAGCAAACCTTGTGCGAGATGCGGTAATAAGTCCGTGTGGGGCCTAGGGTCACGGCTCGCTAAATAAAAGTGCAAACAGTTTAAACTTACTCGCCTAGCGAGGTTATGCCCTGGGCTTAGGACCCGCCACGTAGAAACCAGCTTCATTGAAAAGTTATGCAATACTTCGAATGAGATATCCATTTTTTGATGACGACCACCGCAAACCGACCACCACCGCATCACGATTTGAGGACATGAACCTCCGGCCACTTAATTGGGATGGTCCCGCTGCCCAGCTTAATGATTTCCTCGTCAAACTAAAGGTTGGTGGCCTCACCACCGTCCAAGAAGAGCAATGCACAGGACAAGGACGGGGGCCAGAAGATCCTTGTGAAATTTACTACAGCGGCCATATTTTTGTGTAGGATTTGTTATGGAAGGGAGACTCCGTCGTCGAGTACTGGTATCCTGACCAGTGGATGAGCGTCTCGCCACAATTCGCATCAAAGCGAAATTTTTCAATATATCGCTAATTTGCGCCGACGCCCCGACGGAAGAGAAAAACGAAGTGATCAAGGTGCTTGGCGATTTTAATGCGATGGTGGGAATCTTTGGTACAACTGTTGGAAAGTTCAGTCTCTACAACGAAACATCTCCTAATGAACTGAGACTGATCCACTCCCCAGCGGCTCGAAATATGGTTGTCTGTAGTACTATATTCCAGCACTAGAAAATAAATCAAGCTTCTTGGTTGTTCCCTGAATGAAAAACTCAAAATCAGATCGATCGCTTTGTGATAGACATGTATTCAATGTTCTTGGCGTTGGGCCAAGATGCGTGAGTACCAAGATGCTCGAAAATTTTACGAAAAACTACGGTGATTTACGTTATGTTTCAAGACCGGATCAGACTCTTGTAGGACACAAAGACATGATCTAGTAACGGACGCCTAGAGTATATTGAATTTATGGAGGGAACACTTCTAAAGCTTCCTGAATGGCAGTAACAATGAAATGCCGGGATATAGTGATAAATCCCAATCGAAGACGATGGGAAGGACGTTTCGTTACCCGACGATGAAGAAATTCAAATAGGAGTCGCCCGCCTAAAAAACAACAAAGCGGCGGGTGCTGGTGAAGAACTCATAAAGTGCGTGCATCAGGTTCTTTGGTCGAATGAAAGCATGACCGACGATTGGAATCTGCTGCTCAATCCACAAGAGTTTGCGCCAATTATCGTGGGATAAGCCTCCTTAATAGCATGTCCAAAGAGCTGCAGAGATTAATTGGAAAGGCAGAATCTTCTATAAGAGTCTACAGTCGCTGGCGTACGCCGATAATATACACATTATCGCCCTCAACAACCGCGCCGCCAGTTCTGCTTTCTTTAGACCGGATAAAGAAACGAAGAATATGAATCTGGTAGTGAACGAGGACAAAACGAAATATCTCCTATCACCATACAAACAGTCAATGTATTCGCGAATTGGCTCCCATGTCACCTTTGACAGTCATTACCTCTAGGTCGTAGATAATTTCGTCTATCTAGGAACCAGCATCAGCACCAATAACAATGTTAGCCTGTAAGTCCAGCGCAAAGTCACTCTTGACTTCAGGTGCTACTTTAGAATGAGTAGGAATTTAAAAGTAGAGTCCTCGTGACGAAGTCTGTCATTGCTCCCGTCCTGCTATATGATGCGGAGGCGTGGACGATGAAAGAAAAAAGAAGGTTTTGCGTAAGATTGATGGTCCTTTGCGAATTGTCAACGGCGAGTATCGCAGATGACGGAACGATGGCATGTACGATTTATACGGCGACATTGATATAGTTCAGCGGCTACGCTAGCTAGGTCATGTGATCCGGATGGATCCGAATACTCTAGTTTTGAAAGTTTTCGATGCAGTATCCGCCGGTAGAAGCAGTGGTAGAGGAAGACCTCCACTCCGTCGGAAGGACCAATTAGTGAAGGACTTGGCTGTACTTGGTATTTCCAAATGGCGCCAAACAGCGAAAAGAGGAGACGAAAACAAAAGTTTTAATATAATGAGATCGTTATGTTGTTGATTTTGCTTTAAACATTTTGGGTCGACCTCCTCCTCCGATTTGTGGTATGCCACTAAAATGGAGGGATCTACAGTTTATGCAAAGCCGGCTTCGAGCCTCCGTTGGATTTGAAAAAAATCTTTTATTACATGCCTGCCGCGGAGCGTTCAACAAATTGATACATTTTTTTTTCTATAACTTATAACAATTTTAAAGGGCATTATTAGCCCAATTTTTTTTTTTTTTGTATTTCCTCTGCTTTCTTTTTGAATTCGACAGTACAACGTTGAGCTTAGGCAGTGTCAAAATCAAAATCTCTTCTACTCTTCTTTCTTCACTTGGTTATCATTTCATCAGACGTTGTTACGATTAATATTTCAATTTGAAGAAAACAAAGGACGTCAAAGTAATTCTTATTTTACACAAAAATTGTTGTACATTATTGAACCTAGATACATACATAGTAGATCCATAGCAAACCTATATTTATATTTGCACTTACTTTTAATAACTAGTACATACATACATATAATGGCAACTAAACGCGGTCGCGGTGAGGGTGATATGAAGAAGAAAATGGCTCGCCTAAGATTTAAAAATCTTGTTAGAAGTGTAACGTTAAATAGAATTTGGCTAATGGATTCTGGCGAGCAAAAGCTGTCGTTGAATGTGAAAAAAAATATCAATATGTTAATTCGACCGCAACGCAAAGTTGGAGTTCTAACCATGGCAGTAAGTACAAAAATTTGTGTATCCGGCTTTGTATTTACAAATGTATACATCCTTTACCGCAATTAGGCCCTTCTTATCTGGTTTTGCAATAACTTTTAATAACATGTAAACAACGAATTCGTTCTAAACTCGCTTTCACGGACTATTTTCTGATTTATATTAGCGTGTTTTCTTCACGAATACAGAAAATACAAAACCTATTTCGTTGATTTCCAACAGATTATAGCCAGTTTCTCAAGCTTGTCGTACTCACGCATCTTGTCCTCTCTTTTTTTGTCTGCACATGAGTCTTGCTTCCCTCTTCAGTTCTCGGTTTCTATCCCAACCCACACGTGAGTTGGCCGATCGCAAGGTTGCGATACGGCAATCCTCATCGTAACAACTGTTGTTGCGACACTTCCGAAATCCAATATTTTCGTTTACAACTATACGTAGCAAGCTTGAAATGCCGTCCCACAATTTCCTTATGCCTAGTGTTGATGATTGCTCTCAGGCAGCGGGATTACAAATCGAGTAGAAATCCACTTGGCTGTCGTTCGTCCATCAGAGTGTACGCCAGTATTCGGTACCGAATTTGTACTCCTTTATATGGTTGCTGTAGTAAATGTCGCAAGGGTCTACTCGCTTCCGTCCTTGTTCCGTCCATTTCTTGGCCTTTATTATTATGAGGAGATCAACCAGCTGGACAACGAGAACTTCCCAATTATGGGGCCGGACATTCCAGGTGGATGCCCTCAAATCGTGAACTTAAAAATATTTGCGGGGGCGTTATCAGATGGAGAGTATCTCATCCCAAGCGTTATTGTATTGCTCTTTAGAGCTGGTTTCTTCGTGGCGAGTTCTAAACCCAGCACACAGCCTCGCTAGGCGCGTAAGTTTAAAGTTCATACAAGTACACATTTATATATCGAGCCGCTTCATTACCGACGTGCGTTCATAGCCGCATCTCTGGTGAACAGACTCTGCAATTTGACTTCGGTGGACCCTTAAATCGAATAAGTCGGAGTTGCTCTAATAAAACCTCAAAATTCCTATCATCCAATTCCGCAATGCAGACTGAGTGGTGTGCGGTCGATGACTACAATTCACTGCCATGACGTTTACGTTTTTTGTTTTGTTGACAGAGATCACACATTATATGTTTTTCTTGCTTACTAATTGTTGGTGGGTGAAAATTTCCCAGCACAAATTTTCAACTTTCCATTCAAAGTAAATTTACTTCCTTTATGTTTCCGGCTAGCAGCTCGTCGATCAAAACTAATGCAATAAAATTTCTGAATTCCGGCATTCGATTTTTTTATTGAATTGATTGATTGCATTTAGAATTCCCATCACATTTTAGAACATCCCTGTATATAAAAAAAATTAAAAAAGTTTTTCAAGTCGCCTGACACAAGTATCAGTAGGTATTTCAAATGTATTACAAAATTGTATTTAAGCATGTGAAATGACTTAAAAATAAAATTAGTCTAATAACTGCCGAGGAGCGACCAGAGCAATCAGATATTTTTTTTTTTATACAGAATTCATTTATTTACTGGATCTGCTATATATACAGTAAGTGTACAAATCTTAAAAACTAAATTACAAACGTGATAGCTCGAGTTATTTAACTCTGAGCCCTTTTCAAACCACGGCGCTCTCCTTAGAAGGCGGGAACATCTCTTCGTTGCAGGCGGGAGTTTCTCGATGGGTTGCATAAAGCATTAGCTAGCGGATTTGGATGATTTCTTAGCTTTGTGAAGTACTTCGTCCTGCTTCTTTCAATTTCAGGCTTAACCAGTAAAATGCCAAGGTCTTGATGAATGTTAACGTTACGAACGTACCATGGTGCGCCCGTTAGTGCTCTTAAAATTTTGGAATGGAACCTCTGTCTCAGTTTCCAAATTTTTTGGAAAGATTTATGTATAAACTTATAAAGTGAATCGTTGGAAAAGAGGTATCTGAGTTTCATAATGAATAATGATTATATTCTGATTGATATTTTCTTTGCTTCCGATATAATTGTTATTTATTTGTGTAAGTCTCGTAAAATATTTATTATCAACTAAGCAAAATATTAGGTTGTCAAATATTTCCCTTCCGCTTTTTTGCTCTTCATTCAATGCTTTATAAAAAGTGTTACAGTGATCGGATTTAGTTAAAATATGCGCCGTTTTGTTCGATGATCTGTTTCCATCTAGACGGCAACTTCATAATACCTTCCTCGTAGAAGCCCCCTCCTTATTTGCGAAGAATTCGGGCAGCCACTTTTCACAAGCCTCTTTTTTAAGTTCAACTTCACACCATCAAGGGCGTTCACCATGGACAGGAACAGGTGGTAATCACTTGGCGCTACGTCCGGGCTATATGGTGGATGCGATAAAACCTCCCATCCGAGCTCCCGTAGCTTCTGACGAGTCATCAACGAAGTGTGTGGTCTGGCGTTGTCCTGGTGGAACACTACACCCTTCCTGTTGGCCAATTCTGGACGCTTCTGATCGATCGCCTGCTTCAAGCGGTCCAGTTGTTCGCAGTAGATGGTAGAATTAAGTGCCTGGCCATATGGGAGCAGCTCATAGTGGATGATTCCCTTCCAATTCCACCAAACACACAGCAAAACCTTCCTGGCCGTCAATCCCGGCTTGGCCACTGTTTGGGACGATTCACCGGCCTTCGACCATGACCGTTTTCACTTGATATTGTCGTATGTGATCCATTTTTCGTCGCCAGTCACCATCCGCTTCAAGAATGGGTCGAGTTCGTTCCGTTTCAGCAGCATATCGCAGGCGTTGATTCGGTCATGCCATATGCCGGTCTAAATCGATGTATTCCATGATTTGATTGGTATTTGTCGTCACAGGTCTTCCGCCGGCTGGCTTATCCATGATATCGTTTTCACAGGCTCTGAATCGTCGAAACCATTCCTCCGCGGTTCGAAGTGATAGAGTACCATTCCCCAAAACACCATTAGACTCACGGAACGTTTCTCTAGCGGATTTGCCTTTAACGAAGGAAAACTTTAAAAAAGCGCGAATTTCGGCGTTAGTGAACTCCATGTTTACACGTATATAACTGTTGAACGCAATATCCAAACTAATCATGCATAACGTTGTTTTGTAGGTTATGTCAAGACCTTTCAAATTATGTATAGTGTTGCCAGATACGAGCTCTGTAGCGCTTTGTACATAGCAGCGAAATTCAAAAGACAAAACGGATATTTGACAACCTTATATATATTTATAAAATCTCACAAAATGTCACTCCTATTATATGTATTTTCGTTTATTAATAGTAAGCAATAAAACTAATAATATCTATTTAATATTTTAAGGAAAAGACGCTGCTGCGTACTCATCACAATCTCCGTTCAATAAATGATAGGAAAAATCTGGTTAACCTTTTAGCGGGCCTGACATGCTTCTCGCGTATACCACCGGTTAGTCCAGCTTGAATATAATATAAAAGTATTGCATAAACAATATAGGAAAGCTTACAATATTTCTTTCTTTGCTACGAAAAACGAACAATTCAGTAAAGTTAATGTATAGTATTAATAGTAAAAAGTATTTGTATATGTGATAATTAAAAAAAATATTAACTGTCATTAAGTGACATCGTAACAAAAACAGTTAACCGCCTGAGGAATGTACATTAATAAAAAATAATGAGAATTTTTATTTTATAAATAAATCATTTATCTATTCGTCTACATATATAATATATGTACACACACCAATGTTATGGCCTTAAAAATATTAAAGATTATGCACTAGAGCTATACAACAACCGCCCTTTAAGGTTCTATTTATTTTTGGAAACATGAAAAAGTCACACGAATCGACTTCTTCAACTATCTGTTTCAAATCTTAATTTACTCATAGCAGATTCATCACAGGCCTTTGATAACATTTCACACACTTTGTTACAATTTAATCCATTTTTACGCAAAACTCGATACACATTCTTTGATCATAACAAAAATCTGTTAGACAATTGAACTTTCTGATCTCCGAAATTAAAACTCTTGTTATTTTTTTGGACAAACCATGCTATGGACTCTAAATTATCAGTAAGACGCTTATCTGTTTATAAAATCATATACATATTTATATGTATATATACATATACATATATTGGGTTGCCCAAAAAGTAATTGCGGATTTTTTAAAAGAAAGTAAATGCATTTTTAATAAAACTTAGAATGAACTTTAATCAAATATATAATTGCCATTTTGTTCGATAACCTTTTGCCATCTTCCTGGCAAATTTAGTATTCCACGCTCATAGAACTTCTGGCCTTTATCTGCAAAAAACTGAACCAAGTGCGATTTTATAGCCTCATCATTGCCGAAAGTTTTACCATTTAAGGAGTTCTGCAAAGATCGAAATAAATGGTAGTCTGATGGTGCAAGGTCAGGGCTATATGGTGGATGCATCAAAAGTTCCCAGCCAAGCTCACTCAGTTTTTGGCGAGTGACCAAAGATGTGTGCGGTCTAGCGTTGTCCTGGTGGAATATGACACCTTTACGATTGACCAATTCTGGTCGCTTCTCCTTGATGGCTGTATTCAATTTGTCCAATTGTTGACAGTAAACATCCGAATTAATCGTTTGGTTCCTTGGAAGCAGCTCAAAATATACGACACCCTTCCAATCCCACCAAACAGACAGCATAACCTTCTTTTGGTGGATATCAGCCTTTGAAGTGGTTTGAGCTGGTTCATCATGCTTGCTTCGACTAACGTTGTTGTAAGCAATCCATTTTTCATTTCCAGTTATGATTCGTTTTAAAAACGGATCGAATTCATTGCGTTTAAGGCGCATATCACAAGCGTTGATTCGGTGTATTAAATGTCTTTTTATGTGATAATGAACGGTTGATTTTGGTATATTTAACTTCTCTCCTATCTCACGCTCAGTTACATGACGATCCAATTCGATTAATGCTTTGATTTGGTCATCATCAACTTCATTTGGCCGACCTGAACGTTGCTCAACTTTAAGTGAAAAATCTCCAGAACGGAATTTGCGAAACCAATTTTGACACTGTCTTCCTTTTAAGGCTTCAACACCATACACATCTCGTAACTTTTTAGCAACCTGCTCCGCGTTTTTTTCCTTTACGGAAATAATAAAGTAAAATATGACGAAAATGCTCCTTTGTGGGCTCCATATTAAAATTGACGCCAAACAAACAAATGTAAACAAAATTTCGCGAACTTTTTTTCTAAAGCAAGCTAAAAGTAACAGCTGATAACTGAAAGAAGAAAGAATGCAATTACAGAGTCACAAGCCGTTGAAAAAATTTGTCTACGCCGACTATATGAAAAATCCGCAATTACTTTTTGGGCTACTCAATATATACATCTATATGCATGTATATCCGTTTAACAGAAAGTGAGGGCAAGATTGACACCAGTGATTAAATTATCATTCATTGGACCTGGTCGAAAAATAATAAAGGAAGGCGATCCCCCTTCTACAGTATACTTTATACTAAGTGGAGAAGTTGAAATATACCGGAGAGTTTACGATCGGGTTGGTATATCTGATAATTATGTTATATTGTATTTACAATTTAAAAAAATCAAAATTTTGATATATGTATGTATATTAGGCCACAAATGCTTACGTGGATAAGTTGGAGTCCATAAGTGGTCCGGGTGATTGTATTGGAGATATTGAAATGCTTGAAGAATGCCTTAGAAGGAATACTTATATTTCTCGCAGTAAGTCAATATTTTTCCGTGCTATTCATACAAACTCCAATATCTTAAACTTCATTAATAATGTACATAAATTTCGTTCCAACGATTTAAAATAAAAAGTATAAACTTTGGATTTTAGTAAGACAGGACAAATAATGGCTTCCTCTGTTATATGGCAAAAGTAGGTAATTTGTGTTGATCTTTTAAAACAACAAGACTGGTGTACACAGTACACCTGTTTCATGTGTTTCTAGGTTAACGGTGACACTTAACCCCATTAGTGACAAACAATTTGGTCAATGGGTGAAGATCTGAGAATTAGTACAAAAAAACGCGTCAAGTTTGTTTAGAGTATTCTATCGAACTTTATAAAGTAAGGGCGCTTATTGAAAAAATAAAGAAACATTATTCCAAAAAGCAATTCTAGTCTGATTTCATATGAGTCCTAAATAGTTTGGAGTTTGCAACGAGATCTGTGTGCACTATTCCATTGAAGAAAATCTTATAAAATATAATTTGATATATTAATGGTATTATTTAATTCTTAATGGAACCCTAGTGTGTTTCGCTACACCGAAAAGTTTTAATTACACTTTGGGAAATACTTGACTAAATTTTTTCTAACAATACCAAGGCTCTCCCGAATATTTTGACATTCTAAGGAAACCTCCATTAGGGTCCTCGAAAGATTTTTTATTTTCCATTCTGCAACTACTCAAGGCAAATAGTGGAATTTTTTAATTATCTGCATCTTGGCATCTTCGATATTATACGAGGATAAAAAGTTCCAGCTTACGAATATGGTTTGATAAACCATTTAATTTCAGATATTTACAAGTAAATAAATGAAATAGCATTAGCTTCATACTTACTATTTGTCGTTTGTGTTTACTAAGTAGTATTTCAGCAAATATTATCTTGTATGCTTTATTAAAAGAGCGGAAAATTTGTTGAGCAATTGGACTAGACATATAACACACCTTGCAGGTGAGACTTGCTTTAAGGAGCAACTACCAGAGCATTATTCCCTTGTTTCGGGTTAAAATACCATCTACCAAATTTGGTAAGGCATAGCCTCTTGGCAGTGAAGAAGAAGAGAAGCATTTCTTCATTTTCCCAAAAAGCAAATGCAAACACAAACTCTCTGAAGAAAATATAAAACAAATAATTAATAAACTATTTGTATTAAAATTTTTATATTAAAAAAGAAAACATTAAAAGAAAAAATAATGATGTGCGAGATTTCCCTTTAATAAAATAAAATATAAATATGTATATACGCAATAAACAAACTCATCCTATAGGAAGTTCAAAAAAAAGCACATAAAGTGCGGAAAAATTCGGGAAAACTTTATTTGAATTGATAGTACGGTCCATATAGTTTGATGTTTAGAGATTATTTCATGCAAATGTTGACCGAGACTGGGCCTCAAATGGTCCATCCGCTTAGTCCAACTTCGGCATACTCTTTCCAACATTTCTACCAGTATCACACGAATAAATGCTTCAATGTTGTCCTCCCATACGCCAATTGAAGCGGGGTTGTCTGTGTAGGCATTTGATTTAACATAGTCCCACAAAAATTAATCTAAAGGCGGCCAATTGACCGGTCTCGAACATAAAATAAAATGTTCACTCGCCTTTCAATTAGTCCATTGTGCTGTGTGGCGTGTGGCGCCCTCTTGTTGAAACCACATGTCATTCAAGTCGAGGTCTTGCATTTTAAGAACTAAAAAGTTGGATATGATTTCACGTCAGCGCTCATCATTCACAGTTTTGTTACGATTCGCAGCATCTTTGAAGGAGTACGGTCCAATGATGCCATCAGCCAATAAACCGCACCGAACTGTGACTTTTTCTGCATGCCTTGGTAGCACTTGCAATGCTTCTGGCTGATCTACCCTCCAAAATCGACAGTTCTGCTTATTTATGCACCCATTAAGCCAAAAATGAGCTTCGTCACTGTATATAATTTTTATTTATTTTTTTGATAATAAAATTCAAAAATTCACAAGCGTTGGTTGTTTATAAAACGATTCATGGTTAAATTATAGACCAAACTGAAGATGTTTGACAGCGATACAAAACACGAAACGTTCGTCAGCTGTTTAATCCAGTGTTGCCAAAAAAATAATTACTAAAAAAGCACCCTTTACTTGAAATCTCCGTTTTTTAAAAGTAGTAGTAAGGTTGCAATGTGGCCAAAATTACAGAAAATTGATTTTATGCGGGCATCACTCTGCAGAGAATGTCAATCCTTCCAAATATCCTGAAATAAAAATTCCTCATAAAAATCCATCCGCTGTTCGGATGCTGCTTAAAACAAATTTTAGGTTCCTCCATTTGTTGAAAAAATGCCAAATGAAAATGCAAAACCATAAATTGAAGAAGAAACTCGGCTGAAAATGCCTTCGAATGAACTGGAAATGGCGTTTAGAAACGAAGTTCGGAGGCCTCATAAATTTCAGCGATTATTTTAGAAGTCAAAGACACAGTTTTCACTTTACCTATTCGTTTGCAAAGTCTTACAAATTTTCTGCTGGGAAAATACTCGTAATTAATATACCGGTTGGTGGGAATTTCACCCACCACAACAATTATACCGAGTTAAGATTGGTAGTGGTGCATCGATTCTGTGGTAGCCATTCATCATTTGCTTTTTGAACTACGGCTTATTTTAGCTTTGACATCTTCAATGGTATTCTCGATGTGTACAATTTTCAGTATACGATTTTCGGGAGAAATAACTTACCTTCTAGGCAGTTTATCAGATGGCTGCCCGTTGGAATATTTTTTGTGGGCAACCGTGCAGGATAAATGCTACAACAATAATTCAGGGACAAAAATTAAAAAAAAGAGAAAGTAGAGGGCAACTCAACAGAAGAATTGCACCGACAGCCAGAACAGGATGGGTCTCAATAAAACCGAAATATTGAGGCATTTCCATAAAGACAAAATAATTGAAGGATATTTATTTGTCCTTTATAATATAAATTTTTAATCGAAAACTTTTCACAGCCTACCGGTTGCTAAGCAAGTTGCCTACAAGTTAGAACACTCCACCACAATAAAATTAAGTGGAATTTATGAGTGTAATTCATTCGAACTAAAGTGAATTACCGCTATGGTTGACGATATTTGAATTAAGGCTCGCTGTAAATACTAGATTTATCCGTGTTAAAATTCAACTCGGTTCCTAAAAAGGAAACGTGATAATAACCAATGCAATTGATTTTATATTGCTTTCATTTGTACCTTTAGTTTTTAGTACGAAACCAGTTTCGAATTTGACCTTGCGAATGAAAGCTAACTCTTAGGTGCCACTATTAGGGAAGGCATAACCTTTCCAACAAAGTATAAAGCAACTACATTTATGCTATGAAATGAGCGAATGAAAAATTAATTAATCAACTTAAAGAGTAGTTAATATATTGAATATAACCTATAAGGACCGTAGTACTTACAACCTGGTACAATGTTTGAAATACTTTTCTTAGCCTTTCTAACCGCTCACTTTTTTATAACACATACATATATCGCGTAAAGTTGGTTTCTTCCCATATGTAATTATTTTGACAGTATAGAATCTGTTATAATATAAATTTATTATTGGCATTAATTTTTTCCTTAACAAATCATTTTTTCTTTATAGTCTAGGAGACAAGAATAATTTTTGTTTAAACAAACATCAACACTATAGTCTCAGATACTAACATGAATTTGCTCAAGCAGCGCACGCAATTTTATTATAAATCAAAAAAAAAAAATGCTGCTCAAAAATCCCTAAAAAAGCTAAATCTTTACGAAGAACGGTTTCGGGTCCCTCTCCATTTGATCTTTCCGAAGGATTGGAAGTATTCATATTCCTCTGTTTCTTCTTCGGTTTGATTGAATCAAGTACTTGTACTTTCAAAGCTGAATTGCTTTCATCAATGCAAATGTCGTGGTATATCCCATACAACTCGTTATTCTATCATCTATGGCAGTGATTTTCAACTTTTCTTCTCGATACTATCAATTATATCAATCAAATCAATCGGAAGATTATATCAATTATGTCAGTTTGAAAAACGTTTACACCTATAACATGAAAAAGTTTGGGGAATAATAACTTTCAGTTGTATATGAAGAAAAATGGCATTAAAATAACAAAATTTGTTTTTAAACTTTAGGGTCTGGACCTTGTTTTTAGTTTTTATTTCTGTCAAAACAAAAAATCTGAACTCGTACAAATAAGATGTAGAAAATCGTAATAACCCACTTAAAGCTTTTTACTATAATCCAGAAAGAATTTCGTGATCCTTCTAAACATTTTGAAATAACATTTGAGTATTGGTTGAAAGTAGAGGTTGAGGTCTTGACAGCATGCGCCCGCACTTAAACCTTTGAGTAGGCTCCCTGTGCTTTATCAAAAATTGAATTGTGGACCCGATAAATTTTTTTTCAATTTGGAAGTTTATGAATTATTTCATAACACTCTTCAGGGACCTTCCTAGCTACCCTGCTATGCAATATTCATCCACAAAGTATATTTTTTTTTTTGTAAATCAAAATTAATTATCGGCAGAAATTAAACTCCACCGATTTCTACCTAGTTGTCTTCTTCAGAAATTACTCCATGACTTGTCATAATTGACTAAATGAGCACATTTAAACATGTGGTGAAGTCGTATAACTAAAAAAGAAGCTCATTTGCAGGAACGAGGTGCTAGCTCAGCGTGTTCTTTAAAACGCTGGTTCATCTCACTGCTTTACCTGATTTCGACTTGTGCGGAGGTATTTATATTTAACTCAACTTTTCTTTCTTTCTTTTCTTAAAATGGACTATTAGTTAAACGTGCCTTCAGGTGCTCCTTTTTCTGGTAAATATAAATAATTTCTATTGATGAGCGCAACAAAGCTCAGTCAAAGATCGAAAATAACGATCACATATCAATATATGTATGAACATATTTTACGTTTTACAAGAAATGAATATTTTTTTGCATTTTTCTTCTTTTAATTACAGTTTTTCTCTCAGATTCTACAGTTTTTTCTTGCAAATATGCTACAACCACCGTAGAAGTGTAGGAATTATTGTGATTTTTTCTCCTTCTTCTACGACAAAGTTTTCCTCAATATGTCATTTGCGGAAATAGTTTTTGCGAAAAATATTTCTAATTTTCTTCAAAATTTGGTACACCATAATGAACGTTTTTAAGGATATACACACATTTGTATGTACATGTACATTAGAGTGGGTTCATTTGCCAGCATCAAAATTTTGCAATCAAAACGAAATTAGCTTTTTAACTCGATTTCAGTAAAATGATTTTAATAAAAGGTTTATAAAATTTCAAGAAATTAAACAAGGCAAATTCACATACGGTATTTTATTTGTGTAATAATGTAATGTCAAAACCTATTTCTTATGTATTTTATTTGTGTAATTTGTTGAACTGGAAGGAAGAAAAAGCAATCATATGATGTGACAACTTCACCTTCCATAAATTCGCATTGCAATTAAGGTAGACTTCACTGTTTGGGCTTGCTGAGAACGTATCTAACAATTATTAGAAAAGTCAAAGATATTTAGAACTTTTTGTATATGATATTATGATATTAAGAAATATATATATATATATTATATTGTATTATATTGTATATCAAAATATTGCTAAAATGGACTTGAATCACAATTTTATAGCTGAAAATGGATGGCGAAAAAAAAAATTATAAATATCCACTCTTCAAACAAAAGCTTGACTTAACTGAAACTTGTGGCTTACTTTTTTGGACCACTCCTAAATCCGCCATAATCGTTTTTTCTTCATAATAAGGAATTTTTTTGGGTCTTCTTAGGCATGACTTTTTTATTTGCCAAATAAAAGGCATATAAAATCCAACAAATTTACAAACAAGCAAGTTATTGGCCCTGAGCCACTTCCAGAAAAAAGTATAATTTGGATCCGATCACCATTGATTTCAAAATTTTATCAAAGTTGTTTCAGTAGTTTTGGCGATCATCGGGCAGAAACAGCGCCACAATAATTTGGAGATAAAATTTCAGAACAAAGAATTGCATAAATACGGTTTACAGCCCTTCAAATTTTTTAAACCACCATATCTCAGAATCGGTTGGTTCTAAGGAAAAAAGTACTTTGACAGTTTTGTAGATAATTATCTGATTCAAATGTTTGCCAGCACAAATTTTATGATGAATTTACCGTTTAGATGAAAATCGGTTTTGTTACTTTTGACCGCGTGTAAACGTTTTTCAGGTGTCGGATCCGGATAATGACCTTCTAGATTTTATTTATTATTGTTTTTTTAAAGAATTGCGCCAACCTTTAGCAGGGTACGAACTTTCGTGCCATTGTTTGCGAAGTGAATTGGCCCGTTCTAATGAACATATTTACATACAAATTTTGTTTGACATACATTTGAATAATGGTTGTGTATTAATTTGTACTCATTATTATTATTTACCTTCATTATTATGACCTTTCGAATTGTTGTTTTCAATATCAATAAATAAATAACTTTCAGATCAAGTTGAACTGCTTGTTTTGCACGAGGAAGACTTTAATAACATTTTACGGCCTACCATGGTAAGGCAATGGGAGGAAAGGAAAACGGCTTTGCTATCATTGGAATATTTCAAGTACTTAAATCATGAGCAGGTAAATATTGTATTCTTCTGGCGGCGCTAGTACTCGAAGCAAAAATATATGTACAAGTATACATATTTATATTTTTAAATATGAAATATTATATATATTATATCCATTATTATCAATTAATAATAGAAATATATACATATACTTACAGATTATAACGGCTTGCAAATTGGGTCTTATTCGTCAATTTGATCCTTTAGAAACAATATGTTACGAAGATAAAGGTCACGTGAGCTACGTTCATTTCGTAATTAGTGGCGAATGTATGATCTTACAGTGTTTAAAAATTAAGGTGAGTAAATTAATGAATTGTGTGATAAGTGGTAAACTAATGATTTTTATAGTTAAGAACTCAAACAAATAACGGTTTTCACAAGCATGTATGTTCTACCTCTGTGTTCAGTTACTAACAAAAGACAGAGAAAAGTGAAAATTTGAAAAAGTTTGTGATTGAGGTTGAGTTGATTTAGCCACGTCCGTCTGCCGGTTTGTCTGTCTGTTTATAAGCAATCTCCCTCAGTTTTTGAGATATATCAACCAAACTTGGTACACAATTTCATTTTTAAAAACGATAATTTGTCGGAACCAGAATCGGACCATTCTAAAATAAATTTACACGACCGATTTGTCAAATTTGAAATTCCGGGTAATGATTTCCTCAAAAAAGCATCTATGAAGATGAAATTTGGTATTCCCCATATGCAAAATCGAATAAATGTCGGTATGAAATTTATAAAAATCGGAAGATTATATCATATATATCTCAGGCAACTAATTTGTTCAGAAAGAATAATAAATTTGGTATTCTCCATACTCAAAATTGAAGATTATATCATATTTTATATACCTCAGGTAACTAATGTGTCCAGATATTAAGTTTTGAGGCGAAAATCCGCTAAAAAGAATCAAAGAATAAGAAATTTGGTATCCTCCACTCGTAAATTCAAATAAATATAAGTTTTGAAAAACATCGAAAACAGATGGTTACAAAATAGATCCTTCATATAACTGTTTTGTTCAGATATGAGAATTAATATTTAATCCTAAAGTAAAATACCATAAATTTGATATAGTAATGAAATGTATAAAGACTTCCTTCTTTCTTGTTTTGTTATCATATTAAGTTTGTTCAGCCAACGGTTGTTTGTAAAAGTACTCCTTTATATAAAAAAAATGTTAATGTGAACGAGATGAATCCGAGGTCCGAGGATGTTTGAAGTCACTAATCAATATCGTACAAATTGATAGTCACCAAACAGGGCCACCTCTTACAATTATCACTTAGCTTGGGTTTTGACTTTCTTATTTTGACTTCTATCAGAAACATTTAAGACTTGGTAATTTACTTTTTGGTTCCACCGACCTTCATACGATCCCATGGGGTGAACCTCGTAGAACGCACAGGCAAAATAAACAAACTCTGGGAAGTTCAAACATTATTTCCACATTGCATTCGAATCTATTTTAAACTTTCAATAATTTTTCTATGAAGTTCCAAGTTTTATTTACCCTACTTATTTTTGTTTAGTCTGCCTGTTGTTCGGTTTTTAATGTTTGATAAAACATAACCTCACAAGAATATGAAATTAAAAATAAAACAGTTAACTCAGATGGCGCATTTTAGATTGGAACATAAAATTAAGTGTTTTGGGACTGATTCCTTGTGTTCGGGTTTCATATTAACTTATAACTCGACAACTACACATATACATACATATATGTATATTATAAATATATAATTGCCGTTTCGTAACGCTGAACCGATTTTCGGTCGTACTCCTTAAAATTTTTGGCTTTTTTTCTTTTAGACTTTTCTGAAGAATGTTAGATTTGCGGAAACCGTAATTAAAAAATTAATTTAAAACTAATTATCTAACACTTATATGCTGATCTGGCCAGGATTCAAGCTCATGAATATCTGCACTGTTAACTACTCGAGTAATGCGACCGAAACAACTATGTTGGATGATGATTTCAAGGACCTTTACAATGCTTCCGCATTTCTATTATGATCCGTACCTTTCGTCAAATTTTGAGTAAATCTGCTCTATATTTGACTTGATAATCATATATAATCATTTGTGAGCCACTTAAAAGTTATATATTAGGTCAAGTAAAAAGTTCGTTCGGTTTTTTATTGATTTTTCAAAATATGATAACTTTGTGTACATTTCTCCGATTTAAGTCAAATATGCGCCGTTTTGTTCGTAAGCTGGAGCTTCTGGCGCGTGACCAAAGACGTGTGCGGCCTGGCGTTGTCCTGATAGAACACAATTCGGCCTCTATTCATCAAAGATGGCCTCTTTTGGATGAGTGCTGCCTTCAAGCGTTCCATTGGTTGGCAATAGAGGGCCGAATTGAGCGTTCAGATATAGGGGAGCAGCTCGTAGTAGATGATTCCTTGCCAATCATACCACACACCGCAAAACCTTCCTGGCCATCAATCCGGTCTTGGCCACCGTCTGGACCGCTTCCTCGAGCTTTGACACGACCATTTGCTCTCGATGTTGTCGTAATTGACCCATTTTTCATCGCCAGTCACAATCCGCTTCAGGAACGGGTCGCTCATGTTTTTTCGCGTTAGTTCGTGTGGCACCCAAACATCGAGCTTCTTTTTGAATCCAAGGTTGTGCAAATGGTTCCAAACGGTTTTCTGGCTTATCTTTAGTACCTCATCAATAAACACGTGACAGTCTGTTTCCACTATTTCCATGATTTTATCGCAATTTTGGACGACAGGCCTCCTGACGCGTGGTGCATCTTTGACATCGAAATTACCGAAACGGAAGCTAGCAAATCACTTTTGTGCTACACGTTCGTTTACAGTATCGGGTCCATAAACTAGTTTAATTTCTCATCGCATTGGCTACTTTTTCGCCTTGATCGAAGAAAAATTGAAAAATATAACGAATTTTCTCTTTGTTGGCGTCCATCTTTGACGAAACAAAGACAAACATTTAGCGCGAATAAACACGTTTTCAGTACCGTAAAGTATGACATAATGCGACATGTAACACTGGTACAATGGACAATAACGCCATCCCTTATATAAAACCGAACGAACTTCTATTCATATGTAGAATTTATTTTAGCTACGATGTGTGGCAATTAGGTAACGAGTCTGATTCCATAAAAACCGAATATTTCAAAATTATTCTACAACTTTGCCCTCCCCTTCAAAATAGTCCACTTGGGCAGCTATACAACGATTCCAGCGCATTTTCCATGCTTCGTAACATTTCTGGAACGCTTTGACTGGGATGTCAGCGAGTGCCTCCGTTACGGCCGCCTGGATGTGCTCAATCGACTCAGAATGGGTTCCTCTGATCACCGATTTTGTCCTAGGGAACAAAAACAGTCACACACTGATTCCTTTAGAGGCCAAATACTGGGACACGCTGAGGGCGGTGTGGCACGGCGCGTTATCGTGATGAACGGTCCAGTTACGAGCGATGTCTGGACGTACCCTGTTGACTCGTTTTCACAATCTTTCGGGTACTTGGCAATAGCTGACTTGATTTAAAGTTTGCCCGGTGGAGGAACTTCTTTGTGGACGACTCCACGGCTATCAAAAAAGGTACTAATCATCGTTTTCACCTTCGACTTGCTCATGCGATGCGTGCAGAGACAATCATTGGGAGCTTTCGCCCAATTTGCCTCGAAATTAGATAGCGACGCGATGCTCATGTTTTCGTTTTTCCATTTTCCTGAAGAGCACCACGAACACACGTTTACTCAACACGATAAAGCAGGCGAACTGAACAAGCTAGAGCAATGGGAAATATAATACAATAAAATATAATATATCAATAGAGGAGAAGGATGCCCCGAGAAGGGAAAGGAAATTTCAAGGTCGAAGGGTCACCACAAGCGCGGCAATATAATTAGTCTCATTACTTAATTGTCACACCTCGTATTATGAGCTAACTGGAGTAAAATGAAAAAAAATTTTCCAACATTACGAAAATAAAGTTACTTACTCCGGAAATAAATAAAAAAAATGCCAATTTGTTAAAAACAGTATAAGTAAAATATGTATGAAAAACTACGAAATTCTCTTTAGAAGCTAATTTGTCATATAAATACATCAGCTGACATCTTGATTATTTTTCTCTACCAGTATTTTAAAAAAGCCTTATTTGAATATAAGCAAAAGTCAAAAGTAAAAATATTTATGATCTAAAATTAATGATTTACAGGCAACAACAAAAAAGGGTGGAAAATCCTTTGAGCTTGTAGACCTATCTGGGCACGAAGATGTTAACCTGTTCCAAGATTCGAGTGTCAATGAGTCGAAAATCGATTTCTTCAAAAATAAAACGTCCTTTTTTGATGTCAATTATGAAATAATGTCGGAGGAAGATGAAAAAAATAAAAAGGGAAGTCGGCTGGTAAGTTATAAAAATGAACAGTTGTTAGTTTTATGTAAGTATATATATATATATATATGTACATATAACAATTCCTTATAATGATACAATATATTAGTAAGTTGAGCAAACCCCAATTTGCAGTTTTGCAAAAACTATTTTATAATCAAATTATTGAGGGTTTTTCTTTAAATAAATATTTTATATTGGGGCTCGTTTAACGTGTTTATCCGCCAATTTTGTGATATACTGAAGTTATCCTTAAGGACGGGCAATCCTACTCAATCGACAGCTGATTTATTTAATTGTGAAAAAAAAAACAATTTCTGGTCATGCAACATGGTCTTGCAGGTAATAATCAAATTACTTGTACCAAACAATTTTTTAGTTTAACAATTTTTATCCTGTTTTAATTTTAGATACTTAACGTTAGAAGCAAAAGGACTTATTCGGTCTCATCGATGTACAGAATCAGAGACTCTTTGCTTTCAGCAGTCTATGTCTGATGCAGTGAAGTTTTATGAAAAATTTGAAAATTAAAACGCCAGTTTTGTAGAGTTCGCTAAGATGAAAAATGAAGCATATAACACAGGGATTTATTGAGAGGTGTTTTCCGCCAACCGAAATACATTAGCCCAGCTGACATTTACTAAACTTCAGATGGTGTAGTCTTTATTGTGTCCAATTCATATTCACACTACGCGATATCTACCTCTGCGAGTATATTGAGCTCTGAACGGAAATTAATTATTATGGTGAAACAAATAGCCTAAAACCTTCCTCAACTGACAATGTTTTCGATTTTACTTGCCAAAATAAAAAAAACCACTGCCAAAGAAAAGGAGTGAAAACATTCCACCTTCAAGTACACAGGAGGTTCTACACAGGAGAAAACATTTATTTAGAAGGAGAAAAAGAAATGTTCAATGGTGTATAACCGAATATCCACTTCTCAGCTTTTCCAATGAAACCTCTTTGAGAATCCATTCTTCTACAATATTTTCCTCCTTGAGTTTAATTGATGGATAAACATATTAACAATTTATCGCTTTATCTGTTTTGATGAATACCACTAGTATTATAGAAATAGAAAGCGTCGAAATATAAGGTTGTCAAATATCTCCCTTCCGCTTTTTTGTCTTTTGAATTTCGCTGCTATGTACAAAGCGCTACAGAGCTCGTATCTGGCAACACAATACTAATTTGAAAGGTCTTGACATAACCTACAAAACAACGTTATGCATGATTAGTTGCGTTGATATTGCATTCAACAATTATAGACGTGTAAACATGGAGTTCACTAACGCCGAAATTCGCGCTTTTTTAAAGTTTTCCTTCGTTAAAGGCAAATCCGCTAGAGAAACGTTCCGTGAAATTAATGGTGTTTTGGGGAATGGTACTCTATCACTTCGAACCGCGGAGGAATGGTTTCGACGATTCAGAGCCGGTGAAAACGACACCATGGATAAGCCAGCCGGCGGAAGACCTGTGATGACAAATACCGATCAAATCATGGAATGCATCGAGTTAGACCGGCATATGGCATCTCGTGACATTGCCCAGGAGATGGGAGTTAGTCACCAAACCATTTTGAACCATCTGCAGAAGGCTGGATACAAAAAAAAAAGTTTGATGTTTGGGTGCCTGCGATATGCTGCTGAGACGTAACGAACTCGACCCATTCTTGAAGCGGATGGTGACTGGCGACGAAAAATGGATTACATACGACAATATCAAGCGAAAACGGTCGTGGTCGAAGGCCGGTGAATCGTCCCAAATAGTGGCCATGCCGGACGGTTTTGCTGTGTGTTTGGTGGGATTGGAAGGGAATCATCCACTATGAGCTGCTCCCATATGGCCAGACGCTTAATTCTACCATCTACTGCGAACAACTGGACCGCTTGAAGCAGGCGATCGACCAGAAGCGTCCAGAATTGGCCAACAGGAAGGGTGTAGTGTTCCACCAGGACAACGCCAGACCACACACTTCGTTGATGACTCGTCAGAAGCTACGGGAGCTCGGATGGGAGGTTTTATCGCATCCACCATATAGCCCGGACGTAGCGCCAAGTGATTACCACCTGTTCCTGTCCATGGCGAATGCCCTTGGTGGTGTGAAGTTGAACTCAAAAGAGGCTTGTGAAAAGTGGCTGTCCGAATTCTTCGCAAATAAGGAGGGGGGCTTCTACGAGGAAGGTATTATGAAGTTGCCGTCTAGATGGAAACAGATCATCGAACAAAACGGCGCATATTTTAACTGAATCCGATCACTGTAACACTTTTTATAAAGCATTGAATGAAGAGCAAAAAAGCGGAAGGGAGATATTTGACAACCTTATATTAAAGGCTTACAATTCCTGCCCAAAATTGGAAGGCGCTAACAGTCTTAACTCGCGAATCGAGGCACATCCGCTTCCTTATCGTATATGTTTATTTAATAAGACAGGGCGTCAAGATTCTACGTATTTGATAAAACCAAATGCAAAACAAGGATGAATAACACTTTCCACAACAAAACTACGAAACACATTTTTGCCCTATGTATCTGCTTTTTGTTCTTTCTTAATGTTAGTTTAAACACCTTGTATACCAGAACTATAATGGAATTTTTCTGGATTATGGTACCCTATTGTTTTATGGGTCTGAGATTTTTTTTTCATGTTTATAACGGATATAGAAAAGTAAAAAAAAGGTTGATTTTTAACCCTGTACTGCCCATGACCGCCTATAGGCGTCTTTTGCAGAAATCATTACTAAATATACTTAAATCTATAATATTTTCAAATCACTTTTTACAGCTATTCCTGCCGTTATTTCTTAGCATCTGTGGGCACCATAGGTGTCCTGTAACAGAAGTGCCATTTGAAGTTGGAATTTATAAAATTTTTGTGCTAACTCATTGTGCTTCCTCGTAGACTGTGGCTAAACTCAAAATTTTTAATATTTATTATTATTATATTTTCAGAAAATAATTAATTAATATAGCAAATAGTTTTACTGATATAAGCAAAATTTCTATATAAATTTGGAAAATTAAAATCTCGCGAAAATCAATTAAATATGTTGGCATAGATTATATAAAATTACCATTGATGCATTCAGAAGGCTTTCCAGTAATACCTGATGTAAGAATAACTGGTTATAGTAACAGTCAGCCCATCAGCGAAAAAAATATTCGTTAACTGTAAGGATGTGCCAAAATACACTATACATTCCTCAAAATCAAGTATGAAAGTTTTGTTATGCCACTTCATACCAATATGGGTTTATTTAAAAATTAAATCCAAAATTTCTTAAAGACCGGCCAGGTTTTAGTATTGTACTTCTCACACCTCAGTGCTAGCAAATTAAAGGAAAGGGGGCAGCAACAATGAATAAATTCAATATGCAATGAGATACCCTTCTTCTGCTGAGCGTACTCATGAGCGTTGCCCACGCCACGATGTAAAAACCGCCAGGGTGGGCAAAGAAAGTATCCTTGACACGACTATAGGAAAATTCAGCCTTCACGACGAAACATTACCAGTTGAGACAGACTTCGCCAGGGCCGACTGAAAATGAAATATGCTTGTATGTAGCACTAGAGTCAAGCAGAATAAAATTCATAAAGCTAATTGGCTGTTCCCTGTTCGCAAAACACAAAACCATATCGATCATGTTGTGATAGACGGACGACACGTATCGTACTCTCCGAGTACCCTACATCGATTCGGGCCACTATCTTGTTGCAGCGCAAATACACACTCGTCTCTGTGCATCAAAGAATGCCCGAGCGCAAACCCAAGGAAGGTTCGCCGTCAAAAAGCTCCAATCATAACAGACTGCCGAACTGGTTTCTACTCGACTTGTACTCCTGCCTTCTAAGAGCACTCATCAGCAACTCGGTATAAGGGAACTGTGGGACGACATTTCATGCTCCCTACGTACAGCTGAAAACGAAGCTATAGTTTTCCGAAAGGTCGCGAAAACAGTTGGCACATTGAGGACTGCCGAGTAGCCGTGGAGAGGAAGCAGGCTGGGTGAGAACAGACGCAGGCAAAAAAGAAAGAGGTGCATGAGTATGAAGACTTTAAGTAGCTGGGCGACAAGAGTATGCTCTATGAAAATATATGATGTCTTACAGAAGCTTTAAAGACCAGAACAGACACTTATAGGACACAAAGAGGTGATCCAGAAACCGATGCCCAGAGTACATTGAATTTATGAATGGCATGAAAATAGAACACCCGAAGATGGTGAACCTGAAACCCCAATCGATGACGTTGGAAAAAACAATCCGCTACCTGACTATGACGAGGTTCAAATAGTGATTTTCCACAACAACAAAGCGGCAGACGGCACACAAGTCAGCAGAAGAGTCGGATGAAATCATGCCCGACGATTGGAGCCTAAATCTCTCTCTGCCTAAGCCATAAGACGATCATACCATATGCCAAATATTGGAAAAGACCCGAGAAAAGAGTAGCGACACACCCCACCCCTTCCTCGAATTTAAAGCAGCCTTCAACAGTATGAAAAAGGCCTGCCACTACTCCGCCATATCTGAGTTTGGTATCCCCGCAAAACTTACTTATACGGCTATAGAAACTGACCCTAAGCAACACTAAAAGCTCATCAGCTGTTTAACGACTATGACAAAATGTGCCAGAAACCCTAGTAGATCGAATACTAGCTTAACTATAATTGAGAACAATCCGTGGCGGGATGCCAAAATAGATCAAGGACCCTTTCAGTTCTGTCTTCTTTGTTGTTTAGAAACTTGACGATTTGCTGACGATGATTCCATTCAATGCCACAACCACATCTAAGCAATTTGATGTCAAGTTACAGATCTTAAATCCAGCCTGCTGATCTATATGTTTAGCTTGCGCGACGTCTATAGCTTCCTTGGGAATATCGAAATTATCCACAAAATTGATGTAATGTGATGGATACACCCACGGCTCCTTGGTGGAAGTGCAGAATGATAGATGCTTTTCCACTTTCACGAGTCGCTTCAGAGCCATATCGTAGCTGTCCAAAAGCCGTACGTCCTCTCGCCCTGACATCATCATAGTCCTTAGGAAGAGGTGCGGCTCTCACCTCAAAACTTTCAATTTCAAATAAGCTGCCGACCATGCTCTACTTGGGCCATACACTACCCAACCTAGCTCAGTTTTTGCACCACACAGTCGATGGTTGAGGATGCCCATCCCGAATGTCAGTTGTCTATGCCGATGCAAAGTCTCAGCTTCACGTGAGGTACACATAAGTTATCGCACAGCAAGTCGGTCTTACTTAGATTTTGCATAGGTAATTGTGAATTCTAGACGGCATATACATATTTTTTGTAGCTTGTGCCATTTATTCATTCCAGCGTCACTTTCCAATAAATCTACTAAAGTAGCATATGCTTGAATGACATTTCCACCGAGCCACTGCACATTCAGATGACTAGGCCGACCGCGCAAATCCAACTCCTTGGCAAAAGTGTCATCAATCATTGTGATGGATAAACCTTAATCGAGTAGCATATTTAGCGGCTCCGTCTTCCGTAGAGAGTGATGGAAGTAAGCATAACAATAATTTACTCTCTGCTTCTGCCGTAGCGCTAATACTGATTGCGCCGAAAATCTTTTTTGTACCTTTTCTAGGAACTAGAGAATTTCGAGCTCTTTCCAGCATTATGAACTAACTTTTTAGCAATAACTGATATAGTAAAAATTGATTTTTAGTTTGTTATCCATCATACAAATAACATCCAAACATAATATATCAAGATGGAAACGATTTTTAATTCATACCTATGTACGTGCATATATATGTATGTAAATATTTTTAATTTATTTGAGCGGGAAGTAGAAGTGATAATTTATTTATTTGCAAGAAAATGTAAACTTTTATTTAAAGGATTGTTTGTTTATCAGAGTACAGAATTTCTCACTCACTTCTCATTCATGTATGTATGTATGTGAACGTTTTTGGTTTCACAATTGCAAAAGGGTTAGTACGGAAAGGACAAAAATGTTTATGCAAGGTACAGTGATAGAAAAAATTCTTACATTTCATCTTAAAATTTTGTTAATTTAGCTGAAATGGTGCGATCTTGTTTATTTTACATACGTGTATTCACATGACTTACGTGTGTCCCAAAAATAACCGAACTTTATATATAAATCATACAACATATAGCGTCATCTATTGAAACAATTGCATTTGCAACATTAAAAAGATACATTCGCCCTCTTTCAAATGCACCTAACATCATGTAAGTCGGGTGACAGATGTAAAAGTGACAGCCATTTCAATAAAACCAAAAATGGAACAAAGAGCAAATATAAAATTTTGTGTCAAACTTTAAAAAAAAAATGAATGAAAAAAGTTTATTGTGATGATTGTATTAGTCGTACGCAAGTTTATACGTGGCTTACACGATTTAAAAATGGCCGTGAGGATTTAAATGACGACCCTAGAGCAGGACGTCCAGAAACTAGTAATCTTGCTGAACTGGTGGAAAAAGTCCGTGAAAGCATTGGTATCGATGCAAATTTCACTACGAAAATGTTGGCTGAGGAATTGAATACGAGTAAAAACACTATTTGGAGAATTTTAACTGAAGATTTGGCGAAAAGAAAGGTCTGTGCGCGATTTGTTCCACATGAATTAAATGACAACCAAAAAATCGCTCGAATTTTTAATGAAAAAAGGGATTTCTCTCATCGACCATCATCCGTATTCGCCTGATCTATCACCTTGTGACTGTTTTTTATTTCCAAAACTGAAAACCAAGATGAAGGGAGCATTTTATGATGATATCCCAGCCATTCAAGCAGCCGTAACCGAGGTACTGAAGAACATTTCTGTAAATGACATAAAAAAATGTATGCATGCGCTGGTTGATCATTCCAAACGTTGTGTTGAGTCAAATGGAACCTATTTTGAAAAAAAATCACCTTCAAAGATAATATAATGTGTATTTTATCTCCAAGAAGTTCGGTTATTTTTGGGACACACCGTGTATGTTCTATATATTATATTAAATTTGCTTTTAAAGGATCATTTGCTTAAAGTGGACGTAATGGTGGAAAAACTGAATAGTAATTCAAATAAGCAGCAATTAATAAATTTTTCGCATTCATTAAGCTACCGTTCTCAAGACGACATTCCCACTACATCAGCGAAATTAGTTCTTCATGTCCAAACTTCAATGAACTCACAAAACCGACTTTCACAAAGCCTGGCAGCGAGCACTACGCACAAATTAATGAGACTTTCTGAAGCGGAAAGATTGGCCTTTGGTACCAATGTTCTTGAATATTGGCAAAAATCCTGTAGCAACGATAAGAAAATAATGGAACTTGTACAGACAATACTAGTCGTGCCTGCCACTCAGGTGTCTGTGGAACGTTCACTTGGCGCATTATTTACGATATCAACAAAGTTAAGGTCGAAACTTAAAAAAAAAAGTATCTTTGTAATTTACTCATAACACAGCTAAACTATAATCTTGATTTTTTAAATTTTGATATTGAAGATAGTATAATAGCAAATGATTGTGTTCCAACAATTATATAAAAATTCGTACAAATGTCGACACTTTTATTTGTTTGTATGGTTTATTTTATTGAACGAAGTAAACTCTTATACAAAACTGTTTAAAATAAATTAAAATACATACGTAAGTTCTGAACTATATTTATTGAATTTTTTCTTTTCCTGTATGAGATTTAGAAAAAAAATATGCACATTAAGGCCCTGCAAGAGGGTTTCCGATCATTTGAGCCAACATTTGTCAGAAATGCATGATGTCATATCCCGTCAGCTCGTAGTACGATTTTCCTATCACTTTCTTAAGGCCGAAATGACAAATGTGATGTTTACATTTGTATATGTGTACGTCATTCTCTCTTCGTTAACTTGTGCATTTTCCTCATTCTTGGCGGACAAACAGAACGCAGCTGAGCGACGGTATTGATGCCAAATAGAAACAATATGAACGTAAAGAAACTCAGCACTGCCTTATGAGACCAACACATATGAGCGACAGCATTGATGCCGAAGAAAATCAGTTTTGACAAAAATTTTCCCTACAAACATTATTAAGGTTCAGTCTTTATTCTAAAATATTAAACTATTTACATGGTATATATAGCATACAAAGAAATTATAATACAGCAATAAATTCATTTTCAAAAGCTGTAAAATATCGTAAGCAAAATCGTATATGCAGTCTTTAATAGTGTCGTGCCTTGGTGATTCAGCTCCTCAGCTCTACGAACGCCTCCATCATAATCGTGACTCCCTTGAAGTTTAAAGATGTCTAAGTAAAAGAAAAAACTAATGTTCGGATCAAAATGTTGTTAATGTCTAAATGCAGTTGTATCTCGCAAAGTTTTGTCGAATATTTTTAAATCTGCTACTGCAGCAAGATGAGAAGCGTCCATCCCAGTCAAACTTCTCCATTAGCTGATCTTTTCGTACGATATGGAGTGCTCTTAATTAAACAAATGTAAAAAGCAATGAAAAATTAAGTACTTAATTAATCCAAAATATATTATTACCACAGCTTGTACAGTACCCTCATCATGTATTATTCATTTCATCTACTGCGGAGAAGACGATAAAAAATGGCGTTCTACTCGCAACTGCATTCTCTTTCAGTTTGTATGTACTCAGGAGAGAAAGTCAAACCAAACAACTTGCTTATGTGTTAGTGTTGCCCGAAATAGTGTGAGTGTTTTCGTGAACCCATCAGCCCGTTCTTGCAGGGGTGTGAAGATAGCAAATAGTAGTTTTTTTGTATTCATATTGGACTGTGAGAAAGAAACAGTTTTTCGAAATTCTCACTCATGAGAAATCTCATATATAATATGTTCATATTTCAGCAAGTAAATGAAAATTTCTGAACCCTGATGTTTGTAATGCCCTGTAGATTTCCTTGTACAAAAGGAAATCGTAAACCAATATTGGAAATTTTTCACATATTTTAAAAAAGTGTACCATCTCGAGTAAATACAATAAGTGATTATTGTCGTTCAAAGCATTTTCCTAACTTATTTAAATTTAATTAAAATGTTCTTTTTTGGAATTTTTGATATACTCATACATGTGATCAAATTATTCCAGCAGTTTAATAGTTAACATAATCTCAGATTTCATAATTTTATTGCCAGCAACAACAAACATGTATAAATAAATAAATTATACTTAATATTTAATACTAAAGTTTCAGAAAAAGGACATCAAAAGTATAGAACTTTCGTGTGGTTTAAAGAGAACAAGCGAAGAAGAAATTACATCCAAGATAGAAAGTAATTTCTCAAAGGAATATTTGAGCGAGGAAGAAGAATTGCATGTAGGTAATTATAGCCAAAGGATATCACATAGTAAGAGCAAGGAAAACATACCACCCAACGATATGCTAAACCGTAAAAGTTTTGATTACTTGGAGGAGCTGTCCGAAAGTATATTTTCAAATATCGGATATGATGGCAGATTCGAAAAACCGAAAATGGTAATTACATTGAAAATCAACTACGCATATATAATAAAATTAAGGGGTTACATAGGTCTTGAAGACAAAAAAAAAACATATTTTCTCTAATTTTTTTAAAGATACTAAATAAAACATACAATTTATTTTGCTTACATATAAAAGTACAAATTGTGGACACCATTTGATGAAAATTTTAATGATAAATAGTATAACTTAAGGCGTTGGCAACGTTGTGAAGTAGACAAGAGTGTGCTTTCACAGTAGTCATGAAAACTTTTTCAATTTTTATGTGAAACCGAAAATCCAAAATTTTTCTTAAAGTAGGTGAAATCTCCTTGTCCCTGAATTTGGTTTTTTGTAGTGTTTTTTTTTTACAGAAAATTTCATTTTTTGCATAAAATTCGGCCACATATTGGCTTTTAAATAGGTTGAAATCAAAGATAAAATAAATCCATCGTGCAGGGACTACAAAAATATACATGAAGGAAGTGTGGAAAATTTGAACTCAATCGCTTAGATAGTTGTTGAGAAATTTTGAATACAGATTTCGATAAAGTTACGCCATTGGTCAAGCCATGAAAAGACGGCGGGCGACTCTCTCATTTCTACAGATACGTCTCGATCGACTTGAAACTTGGGGAAATATTCCTGACACTTTGTACTTTTATACAAAAGATTATCAAAAAAATTAATTAATCAAGACCTATGTATGTAACCCCTTAAACTAGATTAACACATTTTTTTATATGGGCGATATGACAATAATAATTATAATTTACTCTTGTCGCATGAGTGGGCTTAACTTCGAATAAATTTGACCATGCTGGTTAAATATATAATAAATTGCTAATACCTGCAAACCGTTCTTCTACAGATTTGATGTTTCCTATTTAACCGCATATTTAGACTTATTGTTTTATTGGTACTCTACTTTATTATAATATATAAGCACTTTTTCAGGATCGAGTGTACGAGACAACCCTGACAATACTGACGATTCAAATTTATTCCACTTGTATGAGAATGTCTCCGTTACTATTGTGCTTCATGATTCAGAACCCTTTATATCTAAGTTCTAAAATATTCCTTTGTTCTTGGGTCTTCGACGTCTCAAATTGTTCAATAGGTGGGCTGAAATTGTACTTTTCCATTAGCAAATACTACTCTGTTTTTGACCATTATTCGTGATCGTGTCTCAAGTGAACTCCAGGTCCTTTATGAAACCGTCGTAATACATACCACAGCCTTTCTCATTTCGTTTTCGGCAAGATCCACTCACACATCGTATAGCAAAATCACAGTGGAGCACATCTTTTCACCGTTAACATTTCCGATTGCACTAGAATAACTTTTGTCTACAATGGTTTATGGGTTTTATAAACTACTTAAAAGTGCAGTCACTTTCCCGCAATGGATAACTAATACATTTGATTGTGTGTTCCGTATTCCATTTACAAATATTTACTGTTCCATTTACAAATATATTCAATTCGCTCTCATAAAACAATATTGAAAAAATTGTGTATTGATGCCAACTTCTTCTAATATGTAAGTCATCAAACACTCTTTCGTACAATTTGATCATAAGCTCTTAGATGCCGTAAATATCTTTGCGATGTTTCACAATTACTTTACGAGCTTCATCGACTATATGAAGATTTATTTATTCTTTTTTTAATTTTGTTCTCTATAAAACTCTATTTATTGAAACCGCTCAGTTCAAGTCCAAGAAGTTTTAAAATATAAGGATGTTGTGAATTGCAGTTTTATTACATTAGTAGTAAATTCACGACATGAAAAATGTAGTTCTGTAAAAGATCGGTAGGGTAGGGCATATGGCAATAATAATAAAAAAAACATGTTTCAGTGGCAAACTTCTTAGGCCACTCGCATTAAAGTTTTTAAATAGGTTGTAACACTATTCAAAACTGTAATATCCGTGTTTTTTTTTTGTTAAATCAATATTTAAAATTAAAACTTTGAGACATTAAGCCTTTCTTGAGCTTGTTGCTCATTTTGTATCAGTAACTATCTTAATAATTGATTGTATTAAAAATTTAATAATAGTAATGTTTAATGTAAAATTTCTTTTATCGATTTCCTTGAATTTTGTTTAACCATTATCAAGCTGCCAATTGGCAAATCAACCTTTCACGCATTTTCATGTTGTAGTTGGGGAGGGAGCAGTCACGCCTCTGTTCATAATTCTGCGAAACTTGTTATAAACCATCTCTATGACACCCTGAGCGTGCTGCATAACCTTTGCGGAGTCCGGTGAAATCTTTCTCTAATTATAATGTAACACCTAAAGCGTACATTTATTTTTAAATTAAAAACTTTGCGATCTAAGCAAAGACCCTAATTTTTACCTACACGTAATAACTAAGTTAGCAGAGGCACTTGCGTCGCTTGGATGTCTATCAATCATGTTGGTATATGCGGCAATATTCAATTTCACTTGATTTGGGGATCATTTCGTTTTTAAGTCTCAATATTAAGTATGTAATTGTGTTGAGAACGAATGTAGTATGCTTGCGGTTTTGCTAATTTATTTTATTTTACTAATTTAAGTGAAAGCTCTACCGTGCCCTTTGCCTGTTGAACTTTTTATTTATAACATTATTATCGCTCTTATATCAAAATTCCTACTCTAGCAATGTATCTTCTACTTCTTTTGAACATATTGTACCTTTTAACACCATTACTGTGCCCTTTGATCTCTTCAACTGATAAGAATAATAGTTTTTTAATTATTTAATAAAAATCTACAGACTTGGAAAAAGCCTTTTTCTGTGTATGCTTGAATTTTAGTATCTATATTACCTATCCTTAAGAAAGCAATACGGGTGTTGTTAATTCATTTATGCACGTTAAGTTTTTTACAAATTAATTTCAGCTTCTCCCGCATCAAAATAATAGTAGCTATTTAGCTTTACCAACTTATACGCTATCTTTCAATCTTTTTTCTTTTTGTTGCATTCTGTTAGGTCTCTTTATATTGTTTAGTAAGGCAAAAATGCCAAATACGTATGTTAGATGAATGGAAGAAATCGATAATAGCAGCAAGCTCTAAAGCAGGTGAATCGAAAGTTCGTTATTCAGAATATTCGTATAGAACTTTTCAGAGCTGTATACTAGTAATTGGTGGATATCTAAGGGCGAAGACACATTGATTATTTGTGACAACACTTGTGTAAAGTGTGATTAGTAAGCTAGGTGTTTATTACGGCGTTGGAAAACTGTGGTCTTAGGGAGTTGGAAAGAAAAAAATTGTGAGGTATACGTTACCCACTCTAAGCGATGGAATTGAGCTCTTTTCCAAGCGGCCTTTGGTTACATACTCGTTTATTGGTATATATGTTTAAAGACTTATCGCTTCATTTTTTGTTTTTGTATAATAGTGTTTGCCTTATTTAAGAACTAGAAGCTTGTTTGATCCTCAAATATTTGAAGTTGAAGGAATGATTATAAAGAAAAATATTATCATTAATTTTTTCGATTAATAAGTAAAATTTTCAATATTTTTTTTCGAAAATGGTAATAGATAGATGATCTATATAATTGGCGCTTTGTAACCGCTGAAGCGGGCTCCTCCTTCAATTTGTGGTTTTGTGTCTTGATGTTTTTCCAACAAATAGAGGGAGCTACAGTTTATACTAAGCCACCTTCGAGTGGCTGATGGTGGTTTTTTTACAAGGAGACTTTATTTCGATTAGAAAATTTAGGTACATTTTTTATTGAAATTAATTTTCCATAGCTTTTGGATGTTGGTGGCACCTTGATATGAGCCACCGAATGGCAGTACGCAATGCTAACCACTCGGCCACCCCGGACATCATTAGCTAAAACTACTGAATGATCTGAAATCTCCTAAAATGACGTGTCCGATTCCTTTCTGCAACCAATCATTGCATTTATTATAAGGCTTTGCATCCATCTTAGCGTGAACCAGAGGAATCAATGTTTCTGATATGGCAGCGGGAACGAAGATGCTCAAACGAGATTGCGTTTTTCATTTCATCTTGTCATATTGGATTGGGTCGTAGACTTATTGAAAACTGACGATTATTACCAGTGATTTTGAAACCTTGTTACCGTGGAAGTAACAAAAATATTTTTATTTCAGGAATCTAATACCAAAATTGAGAATCATTTCATCGATGTTGGTTCCCTTACGTTTGGTGGTATTTTCAGTTTGGGCGAAAAACTAGAACATCGAGTTATAATGGCGAGAACTACAGTACAATGTCTTATGCTGCCAAGGTATTGGCTCTTGGAAAGAGATCAAAATCCCGGAAATATATGGCAACGCAGACGGTTCTACTTAGATTCCACTATACCATCGAGAGAACAACTTTTCAAAGATTTTTTAACGACACGTAAATGGCAGCAATTTAAAACCAATATTATATCAAGCAATTTGACAAGATATGTGGGAAATTCAACTAAGGTCCAAGATATACCTATTATTTGTCGTATTGTAGAACCAAATGAGGATTAGAAATCTATTATGAAAATTTCAATAAAATTGATATTTGTACTCGATACTAATGCTTCAAGCATTTTATGTGCCTACATATATATTAAATGGTCTAATAAAGCATGTTATAAACGCTGAAGTCACTGTTTTTTACCAACTTAATCTGAACTGAACTGAGGTTTAAAAACACAGCTATAAGTAGCTTGAAAATAAGCCCGGCAAAACTCTTTGTCCTTTTAAACACAAAGTACCTAGAAAATATTCGAAATAGACGCTGCCGCTGAATTTATTTATGTTATAAATAAAAGCTGAGTAAATTCTCGTCGTGGAACTCATACTAGTCAGTTTCTGTATTATTTACACACTAAAAAGTTATTCTTAAAAAGTAAAGCAACAATATTTAGGAAAAATGGTCTTCGTCTTAATGCCACATTATTTTTATTTACCCGTAAGGCTCTAAAGTAAACTTAAACTATCAAACCAAAAAATATACACGATATGTTTCTATATTTGTGGTAAAGGCATACATACTCGTATGTATATGTAAATACCTTCAGATATAAAGTATATGATTTGTTTTGCCACACACACATACAGATGTTAAGCATAGCATTTGTTTTGCCCATCGTTGTTATTGGAAACTGTAGTGTATTGATATTCTATAGTAATTTTTACAATAGCATTTGGACAAAAAATTTCTTCGCAGTAGAAATTTGCTTGTTGTGAAGTGACAGTGCAATACATATATTAGACTTATTCAACTTTTTTTTAACTAAAATGTCCGGTATTCATCCGCCTAGAGTGCCAGAAGGCCTCCGGAGCCTTATGAAAAACTTTACAAAAGATATGTTAAAGGAAAAGCCTCCAAATATTTATGAGTTTTCAGCGCAGTACTTTGAGGCAATGGTTCTTAATAAGAAAGACTTTAAGCATCGAGGGTTTGAGGGAAATTCGAGCTGTGCAAATGTATTTGAAAATAGTGCTGATCTAACGAAAATCCAGGTTCCTCTTTCAATCATTTACTCTGTAATACCAGAGGAATTAACTGAATTGATAAAAGACTTCATAAAAGCAGTGTTAAGGAATAATCCACACAACATATGCGAGTTTGCTGTTGAATATTTTCGCACTTTGAAAGAAAAACGCGGTAACAATAATGGGGTAGTTAAATATCCCCCAAATGAAGATTACCTTAAAAGTGCTCAGTATTTTCCAGTTAAATCATATAGTAAGTGCACCTGCGGTCGCTATATCAGTGAAAGGTTTTCGGAACATGCAAACGGATTATACAATACGAGATTCATAGGTACTGTAGAAAAGGAAGGCAATAGAGATATTTTGAAAACCGAACAAGTCCCACAAGATGAAGAACTAGTGACTCATATGAAGAAAGGAAAAGGCCAAATTACCGATAATAACAAAACCAATGAGGTAAAGATTTTCAACGCAGCTCTTATTATTCAACGCTTTTTACGCCGTTCTATTCAGAAAAAAAAGCTTAAGTTTTCCCAAAAAGAAACGGTTACACAACAACTTAAAGGCAATATTAAAAGCGATAGAGATTCAGCACAACCTTTGCTGACCCCATTTGAGTTTTCATCTCAATCGGGCACTCAACAGTACATACAGAATGCAACGGCCGTGCAAGATATAAATTCCGTTACTAGAAGAGAAATTGAAATAGCTGAAAATAACGGTGAGTAAATTCAATATATAAGATTTTATTATAATATGAAACATGATACAAAAATTCTATAAGTTAGTTCCACTTCCAAATTTTTGACACTAAACGTGTTTTCTCAGAAATTTTCGATCTTGCCACTTAAAAAATTCTCAACTTTGAATTAAAATATTTGTTTCAAACTGTTTTTCATAACCGGCAAAAATAAGAAAATAATTTGCTAGATACTTGTGGATAAATAATATGGAAAGAATTGCTATTTTGCACTTTTCTTCGGATCGAAAGTTTTTAGATTTTCTCAAGTATATGCCAAAAGTTCGTGGTTTGAGACGACACCCAGAAACCTGCGGAGTGAATGAGCTGTCCTAAAGGTAAACTCTGCGGTCTGTTATTGATTTCTCGGAAATTTCTTATTCGATTACTTAGCATAGCTTGCAGTCCTAAGTATCGTTAATCTCCTGAACTTTGTAAAATACACCATCTGGTTTGAGCATCTAGAAATGTGAGAGGAATCTTCTTCGTAGAACCAACATAGGTATCATCAAGCTGACTAATATCAACATATTTGGCGGTTAGTTTGAATTCAAAAGTGTTTGGAATTTTAATCGACTTTAAGCATAATTATAAGATTTTTATAATGTTTTTTCTCCAAAAAATCTACTATTATTAAAACAATACCCTGTTTGCTTACGAAATTTTCTTAAAACATCTCTAAAAGTGTGAGCCTAGTTTGCATCCAGCCAGATACTCATTTTCTTGAATTCGATTTAAACTTTGGTGGGCGAATCTTTTCCCTTTCTGATACTTTCTTACGATTTACTAAAGTTGTAATACAAAAATCATGCAAGGCATACACCCGATGAAGTCCACTATAAGGGGTTGGGAAATCGTGATATTTTAATATTCAAACATTTAAAAAAATATAAAAATTTTCCTCACATTTCTTATTTAAAAATAGTATTTTTTTCGGGAAGAGGGTAGCACCAAAAAACCGAAACACGTTTAATGCCAGTTAGCTTGAATGAAACTATCTTTAAATTATTGTATCATGATGACATGACATCTTTCATGTCTGAGAATTATGTTTCACGGCAGAATAGGCGGAGTATATACAATTTTTATGTATTTGATATGTTATATGCAAAACTGAAAAAATTAGAATTTGAAATATATAGGTTAAGCGACAGGCCTGTCTGAAAAGTAGATGTGTCAGCATTTCAAAACATATATTTTATTCAGATTTCTCATAGCAGATAACGCAACCTCGTAGGTATGGAACAACCTTTTGTACCATATGCAAAAAAAAAAATATTAAATATAATGAATTGTACTAGTGGCAAGCTATTATTCTTGTTAATGTCATTTGATAAATTTTAAAATTTGCATCATGTGTGATTAATGAACTTTCTGGAATTGTATCAAATGGCCGAAAAGGTGTAAACTGAAAACGATGTATCAAAAAATAATTAAAACAAATTAGCATTTATTCAATTCAGTAAATTTTAAGATCATTTAATCCATTTCGAATCATGTCTAACAAAAGCCTGTATTCTGTGCCTCCGATATTCACCCGAAGTACCAGGTTTACAGTCAATTTAGGCCATATAATACATGATATTTAAATGAAACAAGACATTTGTTAAAAAAATAATAATTATAAGGTTTTGTTAAATTCAATTTGTGGTTATGCGGCTTAATGTTTTTCCAACAAATGGATGTTCCTCAGTCAGTTTATATCAAGTCGCCTGCGAATGGCTGATTGTTTTTTATGAGCCTTTAGTTCATATGCTTTTTTTCATATCAGAAATACACTCAGAGGGGTTGACATTCCCTGCCAAGGGGTGACCGCAATTAGAAAATTTAACTACTGTTGTTATTATTATTATTATTTAGGTGTATTTATGTATATAGATTTTTATCTATTTTATTAAATTAAAGAAACAGTTATTACAAGTTATTAATTAGATTAAATTATTAGAAAAGTAAGAGCTGCTCGTGTCGGTGAATCGATAAGAAAGAAAATAAGAACTTTAAGCTTGACTTAAGTTGGTTGTATTTCGTATGTTCGAATGTTGTTCGAAATATGGTGTTACCACAGTACCCCCTTGAAGTATGTGCGTTGAAAAGTTGCTGTTTATTGTTCGTTGGTCAAAATTACAGGCTTCAGCCGAGACGTTAACGATAAAATATTTTGTCATTCGTTTCACTAATTTATGGGGACCAGAATATGTTGATAATGATGGTCTTAGGATATCATCTCTCAGGAAAGCTTGTTCACAGGAGGCTAAATGCGGATTAAATAAACTTAACCGTATGCCAGGCGTTATTACTGGTCGTAAATCCCGCATTGCTTCGCGTAGTTGTTGTATAACTTCTGATTCTGATGTCGACGCTTATAAAAAAATCCAGAAGGTAGTTTCAGCGTCGGTCCGAACGAAGTACAACTCAAATCCTCTTTAAATGTGGAACATACCCCTAATAAAATTATTGGCAGATACATTGTCCAGTTCTGGGAGTAGTTCGTTGCCAGCGTTCCACAATTCCATTTGTTTGCGGCTGATACAGTGTCATACTGAATGCCCAATATTTTCAACAGATCTTGTAAAATTGAACTCATGAACTGTCTCCTCAAATCCGGTGTAATATCGATTATCATGCAAAATCTAGATATCCAACCGCTGATTAACGAGTGAATCGACCGATAATTGTAAGACCGTATCTGCAACCATTTGCGACTGGGAATGGACTCACAATTAATGTTGATATGAGCAAATCGTTGTGATGGAAGACTTCTTCTAATGAGCGGTGTTGTTACATGTCGACCGATCTTGTTGCGTTGACAGTGAACTCAGGTTCTGGCAAGAGCATTGATCTGCGAACACCTGGCCAAACAAAACGTTGACAAATGAGTTTTGTGGTACCCCTTTTAACTGAGTGTGATAAGCCATGCGTAGAACGTACAACTTTATGCCGGAATTTCTGCGTTATGAACGGTCGTATTCGGTCGCTCGATATATCACAGTAAACCAAGCTTGTGCTGAATAGTATGTTATTTTAAAAGGCACGAATCAGTCTTTAATTTCTGATCTTAGCAAAGTTTTTAGCACGTCAGGATTTAACTGCACAATCTTTCAAAAAAAGGCAAGAAGGATAGGGCAGTATAACTACATATTTGCAAAGCTACGCACAATAAAAATTAAAATTATAATCTAACTAATCCTGAAATATCTCACAGCCAATGCATAATATGCACTTTAATTTTTAGCCGGGAAAAAAATTCATGCTAAAAAACAATTTTTTCCAGGTATTTCCAGTTTGTCAAGTTATGCGTCAACAATTCAGCAAGAATCGATGAGCGAAAAAGTTTCAAAACCTCCTGAGCCTTTGGTAGCTGATTTAAGTAAAAATAACAGCATAATGGTTGATGAGAATATGATTGGAAAACACAATATAACTAGCAATGAGAACGGGAAAGAACAGCAATCTGATCAAATTGGAATAATTCAGAGTAATAAAGAAGAACAAACCCCGTTATTTCTGATTCAAAACGACACGGCAATGGCCGGAAATGGTCATACGCCATTAGCCCATATTTCCAAACTTGAAAACGAAGAATACCAGACTCATACCTCGAAGCATAGCATAGTAACCGATGTAAATGATAACTATGCAATAGTTGATAACCAAAGCGTTGATATATCAAAAACAAAATTTATTCCAACTGCATCCAATATAAACAACGAATCCAACAATAACATTATATACAATGAAATCACAAATAAACTACCACATCATAATGAAATTCGAAATCATAGTCATAATGCTGATATTTCAAAACAAGAAACGAAGAAATCATCAAGCGAAACCCTTGAAAGGGAAATATTATGGGGTAAGGACAAAACACCAACAGAGAACATTTCGAGCAGTAAGGAACATACGATAATTGAACTAAAAAATGAAAATGATTTTAAAGCACGAGATAATTTTTCGGAATCATCTGATAATACATCTACCGATATTTTAGTGAGTGCAGAGAGTACACTTAAACCGGACCATGGCACATCAATGGATAAAGTTATGGTCCATAACCAGAACAAGAATGATAATCATGAACAGAGTCCACACGTTACAAACCCAAGAGTAAACGAACAGTCACCCAGTACTTTGATAAAATCAGCAAACTTAACCCCTGCTTTGAAATCACCGATAAAGTCCTCAGTTAACGAACAAAATATCACTGTAATTTCCGAAAACGAGAATGACGCCAAGCAAAAAGCAAAAGAGGAATCAAGTGACCCCACTACCCCCGAAATTAGTAGCACATTAACCAACAAAGAGCAAAATACATCTGAAATAAAATCTGAAAATGAGATTAAAGCACGAGATAATTTTTCGGAATCGTCTGATAATACATCTACCGATATTCTAGTGAGTGCAGAGAGTACATTTAAACCAGACCATGGCACATCAATGGTTATGGTCCATAACCAGAACAAGAGTGATAATCAGGAACAGAGTCCACACGTTTCAAACCCAAGAGTAGACGAACAGGTATCCAGTACTTTGATAAAAATACCGATGAATTCCTCAGTTAACGAAGAAAATATCACTGCAATTTCCGAAAACGAGAATGACACCAAGCAAAAAGCAAAAGAAGAATCAAGTGAGACCATTGCCCCCGAAATTAGTACCACATTAACCAGCAAAGAGCAAAATACATCTGAAATAAAAAATGAAATTGATTTTAAAGCGCAAGATAATTTTTCGGAATTATCTGATAATACATCTACCGCTATTTTAGTGAGTGCAGAGAGTACACTTAAGCCAGACCATGGCACGTCAATGGATAAAGTTATGGTCAATAACCAAAAGAAGAGTGATAGTCATGAAGAGAGTCCACACATTTCAAACTCAAGCATACACGAACAGTCACCCAGTACTTTGATAAAAACAGCAAACTTAACCGCTGCTTTGAAATCACCGATGAATTCCTCAGTTAACGAAGAAAATATCACTTTCATTTCCGAAACCGAGAATGACGCCAAGCCAAAAGCAAAACCAGAATCAAGTCAGACTCTTGCCCCCGAAATTAGTACCACATTAACCAACAAAGATCAAATTATATCTGAAATAAAAATTGAAAATGATTTTAGAGCACGTGATAATTTTTCGGAAACATCTGATAAGACATCTACCGATATTTTAGTGAGTTCTGAGAGTACACTTAAACCTGACAATGCCAATGGAACAAATGGTCGCTCAGTAGACACTTGTAATGAAAAATCTTCCTTGATGAATACACCAGAATCAAACGCTGATAAAACAGTGAACAAAGCATTACTTTATAGAGAAAATGGGCTGGATAATCATAAACAAAAGGATTTTATATCAAAATCATTGGGAGACGAAGCATCAATCAATAGCCTTGCCGCTGAAACTGAAACGAAGGATATTGAGCAGTCTGACTTACTTACTGAAAGTAAAGATGGCAAAATAAACCACCATATATTGGAACCGCACGAGGCCTCCATGAGCCAAGGTTTGTATGTTTCCTTATAACGATTTAAATGTACATATTTAGAGAAAGCTATTCATTTAAACTCATAATAACAGCTTATTCAAAGTAAGGAAGGGTTAAATTCGGGTAAACCTGTGCGTTTATTTCTCAAGGCCAAGCATCTTTTGTATTCTAAATATAAACACTTAGCAAACTGTTGTTTGAAGGAAATGTCAAATATCAAACATATGCTGTATCCATACTGATCGTTCGGTTACAACCGAAAGTAGTTAACAATGAATTATCAGATCAAAATGAACCTAACTCTGCTTATATTTTAGGCTGTCTAGGGTGATATCTTTCGGGTATCTAATGTTCGGTTCCACCCGAACTTAGCACTACCTTACTTTTTCCACTTAGTGGGACTAGATCCTTTAATTTTAGAATATGCATGACCGAAGTTACTATGCACGCTTTTATGTATTATTGGATCTGAACTTGTTTTATTTAAATTCTTTGACTTTTCCATATGTGGCGGATTATCTGCCGGAATTGCTGATTATTAAAAAATATGCACAGGTAAGTAAACTCTCATTTAAATCCACGCATCGAAATCATTTTCATCTCATCAGAAGTGATAGTAAATGCTATTTTTGCAAAGCAAAATACAAGTATATTTTTTTCTTATTTACTTACGCATTATTATTTTAACGACAGCTGTTGGTAACTTTACACCTGCTGATAATATTGAGAATAAAAAGTTTAAACAAGCATACAAATATAAAGATGAATATATCGGAAGGCCTTTGAACGCACCCATAGCAGAAATTTACTTAAAGTCATTCAAAACTGAAAATACTAGCCCATGGTACCTTAATGAGAATTTGGTTAATGAAATCGAACATGTGGAAGTACTCAATAATATAAGTGATGTCGAAAATGAAGGAAGAACGCAGCTAGATATTTCGATTGTTGATCAAATAAAACGACCTGATAGTAATGAAACTGATAGTTTAAACGAAAGCACATTTGAAAAGGACTCATTGGAAGCTTATTCTTCTAAAGAGACTGATATCGACGAAGATTCTTTGGAATCAGGCTCAGTTGTAGATAATAAACTTTCTCAGAAGTTTAAAAATAATTCCGAGGAGAGAATGCCTACTTATCTCTACGGAATTCAAATTCCAGAACAAAGTGTAGTTAAAGGTCCACAGCCTTTCAAAAGGTCAACTGCCTTTATAATTCCCATTGAAAATAATAAACCTGCTTATTTTTACAATAACAACAATAAATTCGAAAAGGTGCTGATTGATGCTGACAGTACCAACATCTCAATGGATGATTTAAACAATATTAAGAGTGCAAAAACAGACAGAGAACAGAGTAACGCATCGGATCAAATTAATAATAAAGAGTTATTTTTAAAAACTAATACAGAAAGCTTAACAAATATTGGACAGGACAAGTATGTAATACCTCAAAACGAGCAAATCGAAAAAGTCTCTGATAGTAGTTTGCAAACAATAAATGAAGTAAATGAGCAGGACAAGGAATGTGTTGGTGCAGATTGTATTTTCTCTGAAAATGAAAGCTATTCATCAAGCAGTTGGACTGACTCTAGAGAGGATGAACGATTTATTCCGTCAAGCTGTGCTGAGAATATGTTTGAAACACCTATTTCTAATAAAGAAAAACAATTGAATACTACACAAACAAAACTGCAAGGCGGCATATATGAAATAGGCATTTCGAAAAACTCTCTAGAACCTGATGAAGGACTATCATATATAGAAAGGAACACAGACGACGAAAATAACCATATCGACCTGATTAAAGAAAGTAAGTGTTCTATTTCCAAAATGCAAAATGACTCATTTCAAAATGATTTCTTTAAAAAGCTGCGAGCTGCCATAATTATTCAACGAGCATATCGCACATTTAGAGCCAAAGATCACATCAATAGCAACACGACTTTTGAACAAAAAATTCTTCAAAATTTGGCAGCCACAAAAATTCAAAGAGAATTTCGTAAATACATTCAGCGTAAAACTGACAAAGTAGATGTGATGACCGCAGAAAAACGTTTAGTTGATAAAGCTTATAACACTCAAATTTGTATGAATACAAACTCAGATATACACCATTTAATGATATCAGAGATTGACACTGAAATCTTAAATAATAATAAGATTAAGCTGATACCTAAACCTATAAATAAAACTCTACATTCAGAAGAAAAGAATTCAGTTCATGGGGAAACTAATAAAATGGAAGTAGCTGCTACTTTAATACAAAATGCTTTCAGAATATTTAGAGCCCGAAAACATACAAGAGGAAATGAATTAAGAAGTAGCCATAATTTGGCTTCACAACTTTCAAGAGAAAATTCATCGGAATTTACTAATCCCAAATTCCAATCTAACTCTGCAATCATGAACAAAGCTAGTTGGTTTGTGGGAGCTCAACCAATTGAATTATCGCCGGATTTAGATCAGCATTGCATGCTTGTTGATAGAAGCGATTCATGCACTCTTAACGACATATCTGCAATAGGTGAATTATATAAAGGGACGTCACAAGTATCACTTACAAAAGCAAAAACAATAAAATATAATCAATTCGATTCCATAGTAACTCTTCCCGAAGTAGAATGTGAAACATATCATAAGTCAACAGAAGGAACGGCGCACTCAGGTAAAGAATAATCAAAGGTGTTATTTCAATAAAAATAGATTTTTGTGGTCTTATTAGATTTATACAATTAGAAGCTAACCCTTGAAGTCAAGCCTCCATCAAACCGCATTTCATTTTAAACCGGTTCTAATAAATTTTTATTAAGTTTTACAATGTTTTTTATTTTACTATGTGTAAAATGTTTGGATACTTATAATATATAATATTTTTTCAATCCCAATACCAAACAATAGGAACCATAAGTACAGTTTTTTTGTAATAAATCGCGCCCTCGTGCACACTCCGGAAAGAAATGTTTTCCACATATTAAGAGCTGTCTATATTTCAAATTTCAAAGCTATTATATAAAAAACAAAATTAACCCCAATAACAATTTTTGTTTTGTTTTCTTGTTGCTCTGAGCAAATACCGAGAAAATTGATTAATTTTAAAATTTTTTCGAATATGTCCCCAACCTCCCGGATGTTTCTAATATAATATATCTTCGCATCTTTTTTTTTTTTTTTTTTCAAAACGAAAATTAACTCAATTCGTCCAACCATTCTCCAGTTTAAGCGAGGGGAACGAACAAAAATTCCTTATATAATATACAACATGTTTGATTATATAACTTTGCTTGTGTTTCTGGTACTTATCGCGTTGCAAAACAACTTTTCAAAGTTAAAACGCTTTGATTATCTATACAATATGGAGATAATTGTTCAATCCTCTAACCTTTTATAAGGTCTGTAGAAAGTTTTTGTTTTTTTTTTATGAAAAGTAGATTTAGAATGGCACACTAACAGTTTTAGTGATCATGTTCTTTGAAAATATAAGTTTGTACGCTCAGTGCTCAGTGCTCTTTATTTGTCAGAAGAACTTGTGGATCAACGCGTACTACGAATAAAATTATTGTTTAAAACAGTGAGTTTTTTAAAAGATTTACTTAGTTAATATATATGCAAAGTGTTGACAGAGTTTATAGTAAAGCTTAGTTTCAAGCTCTCAAGAAAAGCCAAACCTTCATACAAATGACACTCACAGGCCTATTCTCACTGTTACCGGTAAAGTAAATTTTGTTACTTTTCTATAACATCCGAAATTGAATTTGGTATTCTGACGAACTGGTTACAATGTTTGAAAAAAAATTTGGCAGCGCTGCTTTTTTCGTCCATGTCAAATTACATTTGCCAGTTGATAAAGTAAAAAGAAAAATATTCACATCGAAATTGAAGACGGTGCACAAAAAAATTAAAAAGTTTTATTAATTTGTTTATTAAATCATAAATATTTGAACCTAATCTTAAAATACGACTTTTTGCACTTTTTTCTTCATCTTCAATGAATTCCAGGCCTAAAGTATGCCTACCCATTTTGGTTTTTTATTTTTTCTCAAACTTACAACACAAATTCAAACAGCAGATATTTTGGTTACCTCCTATTTCGCTGGTAACAAAATTTACAGGGTAACAGTGAGCTCAGAATACGAAATGGTAACAAAATTTAATGAATGGTAAATTTTAATACCAAAGTAAATTTTGTTACCTCGACAGAATAGGCCTGTCAAAGATCAAGAAATTTTCTAGTGTCAAATTTTCTAGATACCGTATACGGCTCCCAAGAAATTTAGTAAGATTAGGTATGTTTTACTCTTATTTTATAAATATGGAATACGGCAGCACAGGTTTTGAGTAAAAACATGTGGATTTGTATTTATTTCTGAAAGAAATGGTACAGTATAAAATAGTAAGTTTGTATTTTTATTTAAATTTTACATATTATTACAATTAAAATTTTCAGGAACTGAATCCATAACACCAACATTGCAGCGGCAAGAGAGGTATTGATAGCAGCAATGAAAGAGGGGTCTCAAATCTAAAACAAAGCATGCGTGGCACTGAACTAAAAGTTCTGTGGAGCAGGCCTGGATTCACATATGTATGTAAGTAATTCAGTAGACAAAACTGGTATGTGTATATAAATTAAAGTTTAATTTTTTGTATGTCTTAATATTTTTTTATGATATTTTAGTAAGAGAATGCAATGCAATGTGGATACGGGAGAACTATCGTTTAAACGCTCTGGGTGTGGATTACTTGAGGAGCTTTCATTTTCCGCTGTTGTGGATTGGGAGTTTGTACCCTATTTAATTTTCACTTTTACCATTTTATTAATACATTTTTAAAGCAGGACTTTATCATCACCAGCAGGATTTGAGGACATTGACTCAGCATCAGCAATATCTTTAGTATAAGACCCAAGTGTTCCATAAGCATTTGACTATACTGTGAGTCATACCACTCATGCATTTCTTATAATTATTTTTCAATATGTTCACATGTTGATCCTCTAAACAAACTCCAAGGTATGGAGCCGGCTCAATAGTATATTGAAAAACATGAAGTATTGCTGGAATAGCATGGGCATACAAAGAGCAACTCATCTTATGTACAAGTTTTTTCTACTTTAAGGTTGCATTTTCAATTAAGAATATAAAATAAATCATCATAAAAAAATTAAAAATTAAATCAAAAAAATGTTTCATTGTTTTGCCGCGGAAGACATCAAATCTCGGAACTTACATAATCTTCTCATATGAACTGATGTTAAAAGAAAAGACTTTTCGTTTGTTTCCTTTTACCACAATCTTCTTCTACTGTTTAACATTCAATATCAAACGTCAAAATTACTTGCAAATCAAAAATCTTCTTGAACATTTCTTGGAAGCTGGAAACTGAGTTTAAGTAAAAATAATTATTTATTTTTATTATTCAGTACTACAGTTTTTTTTTAAGATTTGTATTTATTTATTGAATCTGCTTCTTTATCAAAAGCCTCACAATAAGATGACAGATCTTAAAAACTAAATTAAAAAATAATAGCCCTTTAGCTAGGGATGAGCTGCTCCCTCAATGTCGTTCTCCACAAGGGTAGTAAGTCTCTCCTCGACAGGCACCTTTGACTTGTTACGTAGACCAAGGAGATAGCCAAAGGGTTCGGATGATGGTGCAGTTTGCTTTGTACTTTTGTGTAATGATTTCAATCTCTTCCTTGATTGTGCGCATGTTTAGATCTCTGTGGATATTTTCATTACGCATGGTGCGCTTATTATTATTCTCAATGTTTTCGATTAAAATCTTTGAATTATATCTAGGTTTGTCGCGCAAGCTATACCCCATAACTAGATTCCATACGTCCATATCAGTTTTATAGTCTACTTATAAAGAAGGACTTTGTTTTCAAGGCTGAGCTCAGATTTCTCTTCTATTATGTAATCATTTACTTTTTCAGTGAATCGCCTGTTGGTTAAATAGGTTTCAAGGATATTGTGCAAAGAGTTAGGTAATGATTTTTTAATTTTATATATGAGGCCATCAATGCTTGCGCCAAATTAGGAAAACCGGAAAATACTCTCTAAATTCGAATGCTTTCCTTATTTCATTTCTTACACGATTTACTTGTTCAATTGTTCCGTGTTTTTGCCGAAACCCAAATTGATGTGTAGGAATAATATCATTTTGATGGGGAAAAAGGAGTAATTTTTAATAGCAGCACTTTTTCGAAAAGTCTGGATAGATACTGCAGTTTGAACAAAAATAAAAGGTTTATAGACGACCGAAACGGTTAAGCATAAAATGTATATACTCAACTGTTATGTAAAGTTTTTGGTTTTCATATCAACTTTTTAACTGTAGTTTCTAGCCCTGAATAAAAAAGAAAGTGATATTTTTTTTTAAAGTGTTAACTCCAGAAGACAAGCGGCGTAAATGTAAACTGTCTAATTTGTCAGATGAGGAGAAATGTATATCAATACAGTCTTCTCAGCTCCAGATGCAGAGATTTTGTAGGAATTCTCCTGTAAATTGCACCTTATCGATACCCAAATACTGAAAGTTATTGGAGTAAAAATTTATTTGGCAATAACAATACTACTACTATACTATACTATACTATACTATACTATACTAATACTATACTATACTACTACTATACTAATACTATAGTATACTAATACTATACTATACTAATACTATACTATACTAATACTATACTATACTAATACTATACTATACTACTACTATGTACGGTATAGAACCGCTGGGAGAGGTTATGCTATTGAGTTCATTGGGGCAGTATAGGGTGTAAGCTTGGCAACTGTATTATATTATATTTAGAAGAACAATCGTGCAGTTCAGCTTGCATCGACAACTTTTTTGAGATTGCGCATGCGTATTAAACAAAGCCTATTGCCAATTCCTTGATCCGCTCAATTTTCATTTCAGTGACTTTCTCATCATCTCATTTATCTGTCAACTTGTCAATCTGTCCGCAGTCATGTTGTTCTTTAGTTTATCAGACAGATATCACTTACGGCGTACAAGAATTTTAAAATTTGTTCAAAGCATACAACTTAAACTATTTGATAATAAAATTAGTCCCACAAATTTTTCTAAATTTTGTGTCATTTTTAATTTATATACTTATGTATGTACATAATGTTTAATTTTAATGTAATTTTGTATGAATTACATATTTTTGAAGGTAATCTAAATGTGACTGAAAATGCGGACAACTCAAAGATCAATGAAGATGTTTTAAATTTTGCACCAGCTGACAACTCCCAATCACCGGCTGAACTGAGTCCATCCAGCCGTTCGAAAGACACTGAGATTTCAATTCCTTTTGAACGCCTTCCTGAAATCGCAGAAAATTATGATGATTACAATTTATCATTCGATGAAGTAGCTAGCAAACTACGCGACCATGGTAAACTGGTTGAAAAAATGCAACAACAGCGACTAACCAAAGGTGATTATTTTGATACGGAACTCAACAATGAAGTTAGAAACAAAAGCTTTGAGGAACCGATTATCTTGGCCATGCAGAAATTGCAACAAAGTAAAAAATCAACTCCAGATTCGGAAGATGAAAATGTAATAGTTAATCAAATTGATTTCGGCAACACCCGCGAGAGTTCAGCCTTCAGTGATTCTATAATTATTGATCAGCTATCTTATGAAGAGATCCAAAATGAAATTTTTAATAATCCCTCAAGTAGTCAAATTAATTTGAAGCGCCATGCAACTATTGAACATGAGTCGAATAACGGTGTAAAGCATATTAAAATGCAGAACAATATTAAATGTAAAGCTGAGGGAAGCCTCTATTTAGATGATGTTACTTCAGAAAACATAAGACAAAAAATGAGGGCTTCTTCATTATCTAATGCGGAATCAGAGTCATTGGAATCTGATGACTGTATCCATGCAAGTTTTTATATCTGTGGCTCAGAACCAGTAGATTTTAATGGTATTTCAACTGACACTGAATCCACAATTATTGTTAATTTAACCAAACCACATAGTACGCGTATTAAAGAAAGTGAGTCCATTGATGAATCCTTGGAGACATTTGTCGAAGAAAGTGCAGCTAAAACAATACAAACAGCATATCGTAACTATCATCGAAACAAGCTTCTAAAGAGAGCTGAAACTACTGCTCGTCGTATGACTCTACAAAGAGGTAACGCGATACAGAATATATCCATAACTGAGGAAGATAAACCGTTTTGTACAAATTCTGGACAACAGAGTGAAACCGTACACAAGCCTTCTTCCAAAGCAATTGGTTAGTATAATATTTATTTGCAAAATTTTCTTTCCTTACTCTGTAGCCCGGTTTGAAAGCGTGCGCACTACTCTCGCTCACCACATTTGTTGACTACAGAGAATGGTTCGTTTCTATTTTAAAATAAAAGCTTTTCAAATATGTTGGAGAATAACGCTGTTAGATACCTAGAATAGTTGAATCTTTTTCAGCACAGGGATCGTAACGACCCTTTAAGAGCCTTCAGGTATAACTAAAAATGTACAATGGTAGTATCCGTTAACTTGTCCCATCTAGAAGCTTTAATATTCTTAAAACTTATTACAAGAATATAATTCTCCAACTAAAAGCAAAAAAGTTTTCTGAAACCTCGTTAACTTCTGAAAGAAAATTGGTTCCAATATTAGTTTTAATGTGTTGAATTTTGAAAAAAAAAATGGATTTTTTATGGAATGTCCTCATAAACTTTTTTTTTTAACCACGACCGCAATTAAAAATCATAGATTTCACTATTGTTATATCAAGAAAGCACTTTATAATCATTAATCAGTGTTTTAAAAATTTTTGAATTTAATAAGTAATGATTAAAATTATTTTACACTTTCCTGATCAAAGATTTTATCAAAAAACTTTTTTAAAAAAAATTTTAACGCACTTTAAATTTTGAGTTTAAACTCAAAATTTTTTATTCATCGAAAATAATCATTTTGTGTTTTAGTTTTATTGCTGTGATAAAAAAAATTGTTTTCTGAGCAAAACTTTTACATTCAACAATTGAAATTAATACTTTAATATATTTAACTTTTTAATAGAAAACTATCACATTTGAACAAATCGAAATAATAAATAAAAAAAAGGTACAATATATTGTAGGAATCGAATTTGAACAATTTATTGCAGAAATTAAATGAAATTTTGTTAAAATACACTAAGCAAAACCGGCGTTTAAGGCTTTTATTAAGTTTTTGAAATTACGAAGTTTCGATTACACCAACAAAATACATTGAATGAACCATGATACAATAATTTAAAGGTAGTTTCATTTTCTCTTCGCAAGCGGCTTCAAAGCTATCAAACATTAAACGTGTTACGGTTTTTCATCCTATCTTCTTGTCTTAAAAAAATCTGACATTTTTAAACAAAAAATATGTGGAGTTCAAAAATCAAGTACTATATTATATTTTGCAACCCCTTATAATAAACTTCATCGAGTGTATGCTTTTAATAATTGTTGTATTACAACTTTAGTAAATTGTAAGAAAATATGTATAAGGAAGGGAAGAGACTCGCCCACCAAAATTTAAATCGAATGGAAGAAGATGAGGAATGAACTACGTTTTTGAATTTTCGAATATATGATTACACAAACAAAATACATAGGCTTTCTGTTTTGTATTCTCGCTACTACCGTCAGGCCTATTCTCATTGTTACCGGTAAAGTAAATTTTGTTACTTTTCTTTAACACCCGAAATTGATTTTGGTATTCCGGCGAACTGGTTACAATGTTTGAAAAAAATTTGGCAGCACTGCTTTTTTCGTTCATGTCAAATTACATTTGCCAGTTGATAAAGTAAAGTGCACAAAAAAAAAATTAAAAAGTTTTATTAATTTGTCTATTAAAACATAAATATTTGAACCTAATTATGAAAATATGCCTGGACAACAAAAAAAGCTGAATGAAAACGATATCCTGCAAATTAAAGGGCTATTTTTTGTCTCGAAAACTTCTTAAAATACGACTTTTTGCACTTTTTTCTTCATCTTTTCCATCTGAATTCCAGGCCTTAAATATGCCTCCCCATTTTGGTTTTTTATTTTTTCTCAAACTTACAACACAAAATCAAACAGCAGATATTTTTGTTACCTCCTATTTCGCTAACAAAATTTACAGGGTAACAGTGAGCTCAGAATACAAAATAGTAACAAAATTTACTGAATGGTAAATTTGAATACCTAGGTAAATTTTGTTACCTCGACAGAATGGGCCTGCGTATGTGAATTTGGTTTGTTTACATGTACATAGCAGAGAACGTAAATACAACGTTGTATTGCGTTCTCTGAAACAACAACCGTTTGCGGCCGTAGTAGTCAAAGAGGCATGTGTTCAAAACTTAGTCACATTAACAACCAAATTTTAGGAATTTTTGTCAATATTCGTTTGCTCCTCGGCATTGAACAGTAAGCTTCATGGCACAAAACTAGGTTTGATATGCATTAATATGTATATCTACGCACTTTACGTTTTTAGTGTAACTCTAACTAATAGTACAAAATGATATAAATATATTTTTGAAGCTAGTACTATAAGTATATTGGATTTAAGAAAAATATATAAAAAAATATATAAAAAATAATATATGTATGTGCGTGTAATTTTAAAATTAGTGATCTATTTTTTCCAGAAGTCCGTGAGACATCTACTACAAATTATAAGTTAAAGTGGATTTCATTGAGGCAAAATTCATTACCGGTCCAAATTGACTCAGAAATTTTTCGCGTAATTCCAAAGCACATGCGTAAACGAATCCAGAGTGCAGGAGACAAAAAAAGGGAATATAAACATTAATAGAATGAAATTCAAAATTAAAATCCAAATGTTAAAATAGCTTAAAAAATAAACGCTATCTTCTAAAAAATTGTATTAAAATAGTTTTACTTTTGGATTCAAAAAAGAGTTCATGTAGCGCTAAGATATACATATATTTAAATATATATATATATATATAACTTACTCAGTGATTAATAAGTTTTCAATATCATTTAGGAAGCTGCATTCAGGATTTCCCCACCTTCCTCGTATCAACACGAGGCGCAGTCCACAAGACGTACGGAATCTCTTTTATTTTTTAAATATCTAACTAATTTCACTATATTGTCTTCATTCAAAAAATGTACACTTGACCTCCTTTTTGGCCACTTAACTGGAATACTAACTCTGTGCAAATCTAAACCTACATTACAGTGCTTAATTTCGATTTTTATTATAATAGGCAAAAACCGTGCAAAAGACTTAGTGTAATTTGCCTATTTCGCAACGTTGCGATCGATCACTATACGCGCGGCATGGGATAGATACTGATGATTGAGCAAGGAAACAAGTGGAGACAAAATAGAAAGCAGCCGAGATTATTGAAAATGTAGAGCTTGAAATGCCAGACGACAGTGGTAAGGCTCGAAACGAAATCATACGAAAAGATGCTATCTATGTATAGAATGTTTCATGAAGGCAGAAGGTGATCTTAGCACCTGATACTTAGAGTATACTGAATATATAGAAGGAACACTTCTCCAGCCTACTATGTCAGAAGTTGGTATCACCGCAAAACTTCTACGGCTGTTTAAACTGACGTTAAGTAACACCAAAATGCTACGTCATGATCAGGAATGGTCTGTCCGAACCATTTGATACCGAAAAATCTTTCAGACAAGGTATCGTGTGACTTCTTTAATATAATGCTGGGAAATATAATACCAGCTGCAAAACTGAATAGATAAGGTACAATCTTCTAAATCTTCTAAAGAGTATGCAACCGCTGGCGTTGTAACAAAGTTCAGAGAATGAAAAAACAACAGCAAAGCTGCAAAGCTGGCTAGGTCGTGTCTTCCGCTGGTGAAAGCAGAGATATAGGAAGACCTCCATACCTGGAAGGTATGGCATGCTATTGTTGTATCAGCTATAATCGCGTAAGCGTTGTCTATGCCAGTGAAAAAGAAGAAGAAGGATGTGTGCGACAAACTACAAGCGAGCTGCAACGCAATTAGACTGAATGCGAATCAGCCTTGGAAATATAAAACTGCAGGGAACGTCCAGATATTGTATTTCGCATAATTTAGCGTGAACTACGCCATCTCCAGCTATTGTTTCTACAAACTCTTCTCCCGACAGGAATATATTGGAAATACAAATGAAAGAGAAAGCTGTGGAATTCACCAAAACCAAATGGTTTAACGAAAGGAATGGCAACATCACTGGGTAGTTTTATTTTTGTGTTGGAGGCTAAAAAATCAATGAAAGTAATACTCTCAGACCATACCTTCAACAGTTGGTAATATAAACTGGATATTATTATTTAATATGATGTTTTACTATAGAAAAATGGAATACTTTTCAAATGATTTTTGTCGAAGTTGCTGAGGCGAAGAATAGGAAGAGTCTCTCGAACACCTCTCTCAACCCTAGGCGACAGACTTTTCTAAATAATTTTGGACTACCTGGCATTCGTACTAGCAGCTGGTATAAGCAATATCGCAACGTTTATGAGGCATTCGAAATAGTTCACACATCTGAGAAGGTGATATGTACAACGCAAGGATATCGCAATTGACCTTCAGACCTAAATGCGCTGGTCACTCTGATCAACAGTCGCATCAACTCAACTGAACTCAATCTCCAAGCTAGCAAGATTTCGGTAGGCATAACTTTTCACTGTGTTAACTTCCCACACACGCTGCTTACGAGTATAATAGTAGTAGAGATACGAAATGCGACACTGTGAACTGTAAATTCAAACGGTTATAATAAAGTTGGCGGAAAAGTGTGGATCGTAAGAATCTCTAGATTTTAGATTCTTTCGTCTTTTTACGACAAAAAATTGTAGGGTTACATTTCAAAAATCACAATAATGGCCCAAACCGCGATTATATCCGCCTATAAATCCAATAGAATAAGAAAATCTATAACCATTTTCGAAAAATTTTTAATTGATACGGTGCGCTGCAAAGTAATTATGAAGAATATTTTCTCTACAAAAGGAAAAATACATTTATTTAGTGATGCATTAAAGAGGTTGTTTGAAGCTTTCAGGGTATTATTCAAGAAAATATGTGGGTAGCTTGTCAGGACCATAACTGAAAGAACTTTCAACTGACATAGCAAGTCTTTGGGGGAAATAATTGTGGTATTAATAGAAGATTGCAGATGTAAATTGACTTAACAAATTGTGCAAACTATTTCAAGATATGATGCAATTTACTTGATTTAGTAGTTTTGTTGAAAGTGGCGGACGAAAAAAAGAGACTGCATTTGGAGTTAGCGAAATCCGAATAACCAATGTTCTTCTTAAGCTTAATAAGTAGGTGTTGTAACATTTTTTCTTAAGCTCGAAGTACTTGCGACGCAACACAAAGTATGCGGCGCTGTCATAAAATGTTTGTTATATTGTATAAAGTTTCCTGGAAACGTAAAAGCATTAGTAATTTTTACCTCAACCATCACCACCAGGCGGCTGTGCAAAAATCGTTACTAAATCTATTTACCGCTGTAATTTTTTCAAATAAGCCGTTATGACTTTAAAGTTATTCTTACTTACTTATTATGCAGACGTAGACACCGCTTACGCAAATATAGTCGAGTTAACATCATTGAGCCATTTGTTTCTTCTTTTCGCTGGTTGGTGTAAATTGTAAATTGGAGTGGAGATCTTCCTCTTCCTCTACTTCCACCGCCGGAAACTACAAGGAAAACTTTTTAAGCTGTAGTATTTCTTATCCAACTAGATCTCATGACGTAGCTAGCTTAGCTGCAGTTTCTAGATTCGCTGAACCATGTTAATGTCGCCGTATATCTCGTACTGCTTGTTCGTTCCATCAGTTGCTGTATTCGACGTTTCCAACTCGTAAAGGACCATAAACCTTACGCAAAACCTTTCTCACGAAAACTCCTAACGCCAACTCATCAGATATTGTCATCGTCCATGTTTCCGCACCATATAGCAGAACGGAAATCATGAGGGACTTGTAGAGTTTGGTTTTCGTTCACCGAAAGAGGACTTTACTTTTCAAATCCCTACTCAGTCCAAAGTAACACCTGTTGGCAAGAGTGATTCTGCGCTGAATTTCAAAGCTGACATTATTATTATTGTTGATGCTACTCCTTAGATAGATGAAATTATCTACGACCTCGAAGTTATGACGTGAGAGCCGAGTAGTGAATGCGGTGACTGTGAGGATTTCATGTTGTCCTCGTTCACTACGATACCCATATCTTATGCTTCCCTATTCAGTTTGGAGAAAGCAGAACTCACGGCGAGGTTATTGAGGCCGATAATGTCAATATCATCGGCGTACGCCAGCAGCTGTACACTCTAGATGATTGTACCTTCCTCATTCAGCTCTGCCGATCGTATAATTTGCTCCAGCAATAAATTAAAGAAATCACACGATAAGGAATTACCTTGTCTGAAACCTCCTTTGGTGTCGAACGGCCCGGAGAGGTTCAACTTGATCCTGATGGTGCTTACTTGTACAAGACTTTATTCAGATACCTAGACAAATGTGTAGATAAGACAATTTCTGGATAAAAATAAAAAAGTAACACCAAGTTTTGGTAATTTTTTTTATCTAATTTCCCAGATAAATACTTACACATCTATTACACATATATGATATAATATATCTCTCTTCTACAATAAGGAGAGCATAACGAAACAAATTTGTATATGGGTTTGAGAAATATAAAAGGAAATCTTTTTTATCGCGAGGATAAATTTGGTAGAAGAATTATGTGATCCTGACTACGAATCACCTGCAACTGGCAAATAGGTGGTACAAAAATCACAAAAAATTGTAAAAACGTCTGAATATGTCCAGATTGATAGAAGTTGATTGCCTCAGTGGTATAATGACTATTGTTCTTTGTAGACATCGAGAAAGATATATTAAAGAAAAAGTTGAATATAAGCGTTTGGAAAAGTATAGTTGAGCTTAAAAATTCATTTCCTCCATCACCATTTGCTTTGGTTTGTACAACCAACATTCCACCGAGTCCCATCAACTGGTGAACGTTTCCACCAATAGGTCTGATCATGTAAGCTCGATATAAGGAATGGAAACTAAATTTCTGTTGGTGGCTAGAGAGAACCTACTACGAAGAGAGTATAAGGGAATTTATACTCATAATAACCCTGATGATGATGATGAGAATTTTCAAGTTCCAAAAGAACTAAAACTCAAATACTGTTATAATATTATGTGTAATATAAAATAAGTATTAGAATAAAATAGAGGTAAAAAATGAATTGCTCAGCCTTAAAACAGTACAAACAATAATTTTTAATGAAACATTACAAAACGTAGCAATAATTTTATGGAAGTGTCATCTATATACATATAATGAGTTCTGAGTAAAAATAAACTAAATACTTACTCCCCCGACCCGTTAACAGTAGGTAACCTACTTTATACAAAAATCTGTTTCGGGATTTTGTTATTGTGATCTCAATTTAGATTTGGTTTCATCAAATGCGCGAACATAAAGCTTCATTTTGTGCCACAGTGTCCTTAACCCACTTTCCGGATGCCTCTAAGTGTTGGATCCTTCCACAAATATTTCAAAAGCAAAATTAGTCAAATCGGTTAAGCCCAGTTCTATAGACCTTGTATACACGTATATACAATTAATGTACGCAATCCTATTCATGAGCATAAAGACATTACCGTTAGTAAGATGTCTTACTTTCCCAAAGAAAAAAGTTTATTGAGTTTTAACCGAACAGCATTGAGTAAAAACTAGCCAACAAGTTATATAACAGTTATTTATTTTGGCGGTTAAATTTGAATTCGTTCATTTAAACAGTTTATCTGTACTGCTTTTAAAATTGTTTCTAAGTATTAATTCTATTCAAAATATATTGTTTTGCAGCGATCATGAAATTCTACAAGCTTTATAACCATCCAAAGATAAAGATACCGATATTTTTTTCTAATACAATAGTTCTCTAAAAGGACGAATATTTATAAAAAAGCTTGCTATTCAAAAATTTATCACTTAGATTTTCAATAAGGACGACTGAAATACGAAAATGACTTTGAAATTCTTTTTCCATGTACGCCGCCCTTCTAAATGCCACTAATATTTTATTTTTGTATCGTCATCGCTGCCGGAAACCTAAGAATGCATTATCGTCACTGTGACCAATGCAACAACTTTGCTTTGCAATGTTCTGCGGCTCATTTGGACGACACTGACTGCTACCTAGTAAATTTAAGGAATCCAAAATTAATTTGCGTTGTACAAAAAATAATAATACGAGTATATTCTAGTTCTTTGCCGACAAAACTACTAGTTCCTCGGTGGTATGCGGGCGATGATTTTACTCCACTGCCACCATTTTCTCTTTTAACGAGTACCTTTACTATTCTAAATATTTAACAAAATTGTTTTTGGCACTTATTGTGTTTGAGTATCATTCATATTAAAATGTTAATATTATTTTATTTTAAATCAATTTTGTTTTGTTGGCAAAAAATCTATCATCTGATCACAAATCAGCTGTTTTGTACTGAGTCAAATTTTCCCAGCAGGAATTTGCAACTTTTTCTCCAAAGTAAACGTCAAAATTGCGCTCTCTGCTTACCAATTTTACTGGGTTTTTGGCTAAGCGCACACGATTCAGTAAAGTTTGGTAAAAATTGTTACTGCCTATCTGATCAACGAACAGAACTAATATGTACTGTATGTATATCCACTCAGTTATGTCAAATTTCATCCATATTTATTGATGACGTCTTAAAGTCTTAATGTATTTCTACGTAAGATGATTTAAAATAGGAAATTCTTAATCTACGTATGTATATGCATATATATTTATGTATACTAGAACATCTTTATAATGCACATTTATTGATATTCATAAACAAAATTCTTGTATCTAACATCTACGTGTATAGGTATATATACGTATGTATGTGAATTTATATTTATATACGAGTATACTAGAAATAATTTATTATTTTGCTGACGTACTAAGAGAAAAAGGCAACATTTAAATGATGATTCAATGAGAAAATTGGAACTTATGTTTAAATGACGTCAATTAAATGACAAACAGCAGTTTTATATACTGTTGAACATTGAATGACGGGAATTTTTTTTTTTTTGTTCTTTTTTAGTTATTTCTGTTTTAAATTTTGTGTCTCCTTGCGCACTTTAAAGCCACGAAAGCTTGCTTGTATTTTTGTTGCCGCTTCAGAAGCAATTTTTTGTTTTTTGCGCACCAAGAATCCTCTTACACCTGCTTGTATTCTGGTTGCACATCGATCCTCTACAGTAGAATTGTTTATATCTTGCATTGAGTTGCTGGAACTTGAGGCTACATTGCTACTTTGCGAAATAGGCTGCTGACTTTGTTGGTAGCCATTGGGTGTAATAGTTTTTGAGTTTTGTTGCATCTGTTTTCTTACCCGGTATCCACGAAATCCAGCCTGAATTTTGATGGCTGCATTTTCTTCAGCCTGGACTGCTTGATTAAAATCGTAATTTGGTGAACTGGGATGAATATGCATTTTCTAGTTTCCTTTAAGTATTTAAAAAAAATTTTTTTTAGAGATTTCACCAATTGCATAAGAATATTTCCTGTACTGATTTAAAAAATACAATTATAATAATTATAATATTCACACTCACGTTTATGTTCCCCTCCTGTCCAAGAATATTATATTTATGTATTTACGTACATGCTGATTTATTCTAGTGCTGGGATTCAGACAGCGTACGCAACTACACTTTGCAATGGTTTCACTTGTTAAATGCTCTAATTTTATATTTTCATTTTTCTCTACTCTATAGCGAGCGACCACATTGCTCTAATTGATATTAATGAATGACGCTCTGCTCAGTGAGAAGCGATTCGCGGCCTTTATACACGTATTCAAAAGCATGTACATGTATACACTCGCGTGTAAACGAATTTAGATGTATATGTAAATAGCAGACACAGTAGTCCCCAGCAGCCAAAAATTAAAATCAACACAGAGTCCCTGAACTTCCACAAAAATTTCAAGGTTAAAATTATCAAAACCGATCCAAATATTCTCGAGTTTTAACTAGATAAACAAACGTCACTTTCTGAGCTTAAGATATATTTAATTTTCCAATGAATTCACGATTTCTCAATACCAAGAAAATTCAAGTTTTCAGCATCAAAACATATATTTTTAAATCCATAAAATAGTTCAGTACAAGTTTTGTCATACTCCAGAAAATGTTAATATGAACAACTAACAAATACTCAAATTTTGTTTCACATAACCCACTGCACACTTTTTACCGCCTCACATTTTTAGACGATTTTTCACATAATGGCGATCATCATGACGTATTTAATTACAAATCTTTTTAAATTTAAAAAAAGTACTCCAGGCCATTTGAATTTTATAGTCAAAATGTGATGATGATTTATTGATAAAATTATTATATAAAAACTTTGACAACCCACATAGTGAAACCAACTTCCTCATTGAAAATACAACTTTGCTGTTGTGGTCGTTAGAGGTTAAAATATATAGCCTTTATGGAACAGTAAATTATTTGCTAATGAAAAGAATTAATAAAAAGTTATATTAATGATGTGTGAGCCTTCGTTTGTCCTTGCAATTGGTGAAGAATATGAAGTGGAAAAATTGAAGATGAAAATTTTGTGAGTTCCTCAAGTTCGTAATAAGATTTATGAGAGAAAATTTTTTAAATCCATCTACAAATTGATTTTATCTTAATTACAATTTTTTCGCACAACCTAAATAAAATTGCTTTCGTAAAAAACTTAAGAAATGTTTTTGGCAACTATTCTTTATTTAAACTCCACACTGGGGTTCTACCGTGAAGAACGCTACCAGAGATAGGTAGTAACAGATGTGAGCACCCAATTGCCCTTGGCATGATTTTTGGATTTTTGGCTGTGACCGAATTGCGTTCCATGAATTCTAGAAACGTTAATATTGTGCTGGATTCGATGTCTTAGCCTCCGATAAAATACCTTTTCAATTAGAAAAAAAGGTTTAAGAATAAACTATTATTATTATTAGGTGTTATGCGAAAATGTGTAAAAACGAACTGAAACTTTTGGATTTTCCAAATTCCAATTTCATTGATAAATCAAGCACGATCATAGATTCTGATCGAACTCAATTCCTATTCCGACCGAAATTTTGATATATCATTAGTAAAAAGAGTTGATAGAGACTATTTTACAAATCACTTACTGAGAATATCAAAAAATGTTAAATATTTAATGAAAGTGAACGGAGACGATTAGTTAAGAGCGACCTCTAGCTGGGGCTGCACATATACACCTTCACTAAAAGTTGCTTGAAGATTATTGATAAATTTTCTCTAAGATATTTTAGAATCATAATTGTTCATTAAAATTGTAATAATATGTAAATGCCAACAAACATTGTTTACACGCTATTTGTGAGCTGAATTAGTAACTGGATACTACTTAATGAATGTAAACTAGTGACCACTACTACCAAAGACTGCTCACTGAATCGATCATTTTGTAATAATTAACATATGCAAACATCAAAACATGCACCACAAATCGCTTCATCGGTTACAAAGCGCCAACTGTTATTATTATTTTTTATTTGGTTTGGGTTTTGTTGCAAGCACCTATAACCTCAATTGTCATTTTGGGTGGGCACGGATTGAACTTATTTATTTCCACTCATACCAAAATAGGGCTTCATAATTAATTTTCACTTTGAATAATATTTTTATTAGAGGCGACCAACTATTCGAAGTACATTTTTTTCTACATACAAATACGAAGTGTGTTCAAAAAATATCGCGAATTTTGTGTTTTTTCAAAAATTATTTATTTATTCATAGATATCTATTTCGTCCCCTTCAAAGTAATCCTCATGTCCAATCCAACGGTTTTTCCAATCTTCGAAGCACTTCAAAAAATCATCTTTTTATCTTGTTCAGCTCCTCGTTCGATGCCGTCTTTATCTCGTCAAGCGTAGCGTAACGTCGTCCTTTCATGGACCTCTTCAGTTTAGGGAACAAAAAAAAGTCACAGGGGGCCAGATCTGCAGAATACGGTGGCTGCGGCATCATTAGTGTGTTGTTTTTGGCCAAAAAGTCGCTCACAAGCAACGATGTGTAAGCAGGGGCGTTATCGTGGTGCAAAAGCCAATTTTTGTTCTTCCGCAAATCCGGGCGTTTCTGGCGGATTGCTTAGCGCAAATTGCGCATAACTTGCAGGTAATATTCGTTATTGACCGTTCTACCCTGTGGCAATACCATTTTCTCCACTTCATTAATTTTTTCGTCTGTTGTTGAAGTGCTCGAGCGTCCGGCACGCTCTTCGTCGTTCACATCTTCTCGGCTTTCTAAGAACATCTTGTACCACCGATAAACGTTGCTTCGGTCCAAGGTAGCTTCTCCGTATGGCGCAGTCAACATTCGGAATTCATCCGCGCACTTAATTTCGTTTTTCACACAAAATTTGATACAAGTTCTTTGATCCATTTTTTTGAATAGGTAAAAATCGAAGGCCATCCAAAACACGTGCAAGCAAAGCAGCTGTTAACAATTAAGAGAACATTCAGACATGAGTACCAACATAACGTCACAAAAAATCGAAATTCGATTATACGTAACCCGCGAAAATTCAAAATTCGCGATACTTTTTGAACACACCTCGTAAAAATAGTTAATTAAAAAACAGTCATGGATTAATGGGTTTATTGACTTTAATTCAATATTGAAATTTTTGATATTCTAGTTTGATAAGTACATAAATCGGCGAACTTTTGGGTTCAAATAAAACCAGTCCACAGATTATGAACTAATAGATCGAAAATTAACAAAAATCTTGTAGAATATATGTATAATGTATCCCACATTTCACCTTACACTCCTCTGCCGAATATTCAGGACATTCCCGCCGAGGATGACCGCAATGAGAAATAATAACTGTGCATTTGATATGTGCACTTCGATTAATGGAGAAGTGAAACATCACTCAACCTTGATTTTCCATTCAATAAACAGAAAAATAAAACAAAGCAATCAGTTGTCTACAGAAGCGCCCTTATTGTTGAATGGCTTAACAGAGAATATTATTTTTGTTGCCTATAAATTCCAATCATGACGTTTGGTCGTATACAATACATACTATACATACATACGTTATATGTAAGTATGCAAGCATTGAGTAGTTACCATTCTCTCATTCAATATAAGGATATGTCGTAACATTGATTTATTTATTTGAAAAGTAAACGGCTTCAAAATAATACCCGGTGGCCAAAAGTGAATTCATTTCGATCAAAAACTAATGCAGTAAATCATTACTTATGACCTATTTCTACCAAACCAAACTCTTTAGTATTAACTTTGGTCTGAGGTATGTACAGTATGTCAATTAATTGTTTGCAAAATGAAAAAAATCTTTTTTCAACTTGATTTTTACTAATTAAAACAATTTTCTTTAACTACTTTTTTGTTTTTTTTTTTTAATAATATTAGTCTGAGTAATCTTAGCATAAATAATGCACACAAATTCCAGAATTCAAGACATAAAAGTAAAAGAGATATAAAAATTCAAAAGGCCGCTAATATTTGCTGGTGTCCATTAGCAGTCCTGTAAATATGGTAATAGAAAAGTTGAGCCGCTTCTCAATATTAACTACCGAAAAAAATGGTTTGTTTCTAGCTATTTGCGAGGAGTACTTGTGTATTTTTAAGACTTTTCGGATTGTCTCGCCGACTTACTGTTTTACGGCAATCATTTTTAATATCTGACGCCAATTTTATGAGGGTGGTTTGAGTATTATCACTGATCTACTTTAAAATTTTTGATTGATCGCGTCCAAAAAGTTTGGGTGGTCTACCCCCAGAGTGCTTTAACTCCAATCTGTTTTTTTTTCGCATTTAATAATATTATAAATCGTTCTAAGCTTAATGGAAAACATTACCGCTAATTCTTTAGCCGATTTCCCTTTGTGGTAGTTAAAATGAGCTAATTGAATAAGATTGTCATTAGTTCGCTTGCCAGGCATTGTCAAAAGCGCTAAATCAACAAGATCTGAACTGTCCAAAGCAATAATCGAATTAAATGTAATAGAGCAGCGCATAGCTATGACGCACGCGTTCACTCGTTTTCTAATTTGTGGTACAGTTAAGTTATCTACGTTTTATTTGAATTGTGTGGGCATTTTGCAAAGAATTAATTGGCAACGCAATATTTGGCGAATTTTAAATTTGTTTTTTTTTTTTAACGTTCGGTTTTAATGTTTGTTATTTCTGCGAGTGATATATTATATGTTAAGAATTTTTATTAATTAACAATACAAATTAATAAAAAAAGGAAAATAAATTACTTTCATTTATAAAATAAAATTTTTTATGATTTTTTTTATTTTGCAAACAATTAATTGACATACTGTATGTGTTACCGGGAGAATTTAAAAAATTATTAACACCAAAGATCGTCGAAGTCACGATACATAAAATCCCAAAATACATAATCAAAATACGACCAAATCATTATTCTTGTTCGACATTGGCGTAAACATCACTTACGTGATTATAGCTGAATTGTGCTTCTACACAATATAACAAGTTGGCAATGATGAAGTGCTTCTAGAGAGTTGGGTTATGGTTAGTCGAGAGAGAACTTTATCTTTCAATTGCCTCTATGAATATTTTCGTTAGGGATGAGCCATGGTGCATCCGTTATCATTCTTTAAATTTTAAATCGAAATCTTTTTATATCTACATGCGTCGCGTAATCTGTGCCCCATAACTGGATTACATACATCCATATCGGTTTTATAATCGTTTTATAAAGAAGGACTTTGTTTTCAAGCTGAAGGCT